ATAACAAATTTTAGAATTTGTTTAAACGAATTTAATTCGTTATTACAAATTTTAGAATTCGTCTAAACGAATTTAATCTGTTATAACAAATTTTTGTTACAACGTTATAACGAATTCAACAAAATTGTTATAACAAATTTAATTCGTTATAACGAATTCAAAAAATTGTTATAACGAATTAAATTCGTTCTAACAAATTCGACAATTCGTTTTATCGAATTCAACAATATTTTTTTATTGGTCCTAAAAATACGGAAGCCTACGGAAGCCCATTTAGGACTATCAAAAAATATTTTTGAATTCGATATAACGAATTGTCAAATTTGTTATAACGAATTTAATTCGTTATAACAGTTTCTTTGAATTCATTATAACGAATTTAATCTGTTATAACAAATTTGTTGAATTCGTTATAACGAATTGAAAAATTTGTTATAACGAATTAAATTCGTTATAACGAATTCTAAAACTTGTTATAACGAATTAAATTCGTTAAAATGATTTCTTTAATTTGTTATAACGAATTAAATTTGTTAGAACGAATTCGGCAAATCGTTATATCGAATTCATATATATTTTTCTACAGGCCCTGATTGTTGAATTTGATTAAACGAATTTAATTCGTTGTAACAAATTTTAGAATTCGTTCAAACGAATTTAATTTGTTATAACAAATTTTAGAATTCGTTTAAACGAATTTAATTTGTTATAACAAATTTTAGAATTTGTTTAAACGAATTTAATTCGTTATAGCAATTTTTTAATTCGTTATAATGAATTCAACAAATTTGTTATAACAGATTAAATTCGTTATAACGAATTCAAATAAACTGTAATAACGAATTAAATTCGTTATAATAAATTCAACAATTCGTTATATCGAATTCAAAAATATTTTTAATAGGTCCTAAATGGGCTTCCGTAGAAGGCCATTTAGGACCAATCAAAAAATATTTTTGAATTCAGTTGAACGAATTGTCAAATTTATAATAATGAATTAAATTTCTTTGAATTCGTTATAACGAATTTTATCTGATATAACAGATTTGTTGAATTCGTTATTACGAATTCAAAAATTTGTTATAACAGATTAAATCCGTTTGAACGAATTCAGAAATTTGTTATAACAAATTAAATTCATTTAAACAGACTTTAAAATTTGTTATAACGAATTATAAATCCGTTTAATCAAATTTAACAATCAGGGCCTTTATATACATGAATTCGATATAACGAATTGTCGAATTCGTTTCAATGAATTTAATTCGTTATAACAAGTTTTAGAATTCGTTAAAACGAGTTTAATTCGCTATAATGAATTTAACAAATCTGTTATAACAGATAAAATTCGTTATAACGAATTCAAAGAAATTGTTATAACGAATTAAATTCATTATAACAAATTCGACAATTCGTTATTTCGAATTCAAAAATATTTTTTGATATGTCCTTAATCGGCTTCCGTATAAATAGGCTTCAAAATCTATTATATATAACACATTTCTTGAATTCGTTATAACAAATTCAAAAATTTGTTATGACTAATCAAATTCGTTTAAACGGATTCTAAAATTTGTTATAAAGAATAAAATTTGTTATAACAATTTTTCGTTATTAAGAATTAAATTCTTATTGCAAATTTGTTGAATTCGTTTTAACGAATTCACAAATACTTCTCTACAGGCCCTAATTTTCGACTTTGAGTAAACAACTTTAATTCGTTATAACAAATTTTAGAATTTGTTTAAACGAATTTTATTCGTTTTTACAATTTTAGAATTCGTTTAAACGAGTTTAATCCGTTACAACAGATTTTTGAATTTGTTATAACGAATTAGAATTTTAAAAAAAAATTACGAATTAAATTCGTTATAACAAATTCGACAATTCGTTACTAGTATATCGAATTCAATTTTTAGGTCACCAGAGTCATTCAGGTGACCTATTACTATCCGTTTTTGTCTGTCGTCGTGCGTCGTGCGTTAACATTTGAACATTTTCAGCTTCTTCTCTGAAACCGTTCAACCAATTTCAACCAATTTTGGCGTATAGCATCTATGGGTGAAGGGAAACAAAAATTATGAAGGGGAACAAAAGTTGTGAATTTCATGGTCCCTGCCTAAACTACATAAGAACAAAGTTATGATGAGAAAGAGTGCCTCTTCAGAAATTGTTAATTTCATGGCCCCTGGATCAGGGGTTCTGGTGTTTAAGGCGGGGCTCTATTGAATATATAGTGAAAATGCATCAATTCTTTGAAAAGCTTCATCTCTGCTCCAGGGTATTATTTAAACAAAGGAAGTGCATGGATATGATAAGCAAGAATGCCTCTTCCAAAATTGTGAAATTCATGGCCCAAGGGTCAAGGGTTCTGGTGAAAAGGGGGGGGGGGGCTCTATTGATTATATAGTGAAAATTCATAATTTCTTTCAAAATATTTTTTCCTACTCCTGGTTATAAAGCAAAGAAACAAGTGTATAGTTATGATGAGCAAGGATGCTTTTACAAAATTTTCAAAACTTGTGGTCCCAGGGGCTCTGTTGTTTCTCTGAAGGGGGGGGGGGGGCTCTATTGATAATATAGTGAAAATGTGTGAATTCTTTGAAAATCATCAACTAATTGCATAGTTATGATGATGAGGGTACCTCTTCCAAATTTGTAAATTTCATGACCCTGGGTCATGAGTTCTGGTATTAGGGTAGGGCTGTGTTAAATAGTGAAAATGCATTATTTCTTTGAAAATCTTCTCTGCCCCTGGGCATATTGGAGGCGAACTGAGTAAAAGTTTTAATAAGCAAGGGTATTTTTACCAGAATTTTGAACATCAGGACCATTTTTTCAGGTGTTCTGGTCCTGGCCAGGGCTTTATTAATTTGTACTCTACTGAGTGAAGTTATTCCCCTTTGCCATTCACCTTTGATAATTAATCACTGTAGATAATGTATTTGAAAGGTTAATAGAATAAGAGAATTATGCAAGATTTTTGTTTATTGTTTAACGTCTCTCTCGAATTTTTTACTCATATGGAGACGCCACGAATTGCCGGTGAAGAGCTACAACTTTTGACCTATACTCGGCACTCAGGGCCATTGAGCAGTGCGGGATCTTTTTCGTGCCAGCACCTACTGCGACATGGGACCTCGGTTTATACGGTCTCATCCAAAGGACCGGTCTCCATGTCCCACAGTGGGATTCGAACCCGCGACGTAAGGATCGACTCCTTACTCCGCGACTCTAGAGCGAACGCTCTAACCACTGCGCCACGCGGGCGACTAATTATGCAAGAACGTTTATTGTGTAATACAAAAAGTACTTTCATAGTTTTAATGATCATGTAGACTTGGAAATAATAGATGAATAAAAATGAAACAAAAATAATTTATCTTTTTAAATGTTCTTCAAAGGCCATGTGAGGCCAATGTGAGAGATAATTATATGGGGTTTAAAAATAGATATTTCTTTGAAAGTCTGCATGGTAATAATGATAAATGGGGGACAGATAGATAGATACTAGACCAATAATTTTGTTGATTTTAATCGTACTCATCCTCACAATGTCAAGGTTTTGTGATTTCGGAAATCCACACAAACCCTCGACATAAGTCGCTATTTAAAAATTGGGCTAGAAAGCCACTATTTCATTTGTTCCTGGTCTAGGACTGGAACCAATCAGAAAAAAGCTTTTATTGTTGGTAAGTTTTGTAAACAAATATGACTCGTCTTTAAAATGGAAAGTGTCAATATTGTGAGATATGTGACTGGTTACATTAAACGAAACATCGGGGATAAATTTTTGGAAGATCGACCTCCAAAAAATCACAAAAGATATGCTCTGGAGTTGGGCCATTTGAAAACGACTGATTTGAAAAATATATTCTCATTGGTTAGTTTATAATTACCCATTACGTCATGTGTAACCACAAACCCAACTTTTAAATAGCGACTTATGTCAAGGGTTTGTGTGGAGTAAACCTTGACATTCTTCTTCTTCTTCCAGTTCAGTGCAAAACCACTAAAGTATTATCGCACTCTGCGTGAGGGGGTGCGTGTCTATGTACAGTGCTCAATAAAACTTTAAAATTAAAAGATAAAAACGCAGGTGTGATTCTAGTGGCTGGCACTGGACAGCTGGACATTGTGAGGATGAATCGTACTATTTTTTCTTGCTTTTGGGCAACAAAGCTTCGATCATTTATCAGTTTATGGATCCTCTTTTGTAGCAAAAATTAGGTTAAGTGCACATAATTTAGAAATTGAAAAAGGTAGATATGTTGAAATTAATAAAAATGATAGGTTGTGTAAAGTTTGTCAAAACCTTGATATTGAGGATGAAAAACATTTCATTTTGCTCTGTCCGAAATATGAAGCACAGAGAAAAATATTCAAAACAAAATTATCTACTTTCCCTAATTTCAACCAAACAATTCATAATAATGACAATTTGTTAAAATCATTGATGAAAATCAGGTGTAAAAGGGTTCTTAAAATATTATCTTCATTTTTATGTCAAATATCTGATATTAGAAAAAATGTTTTAGCTATAAATGAGTAACTACATTGTTATGAATTATTTAGTATCGGATGAGTACACTACATTATTTGCTACACCGATTGTTTGTATTCCAGTTGTGTTCTACTGTATTATTATGCTTATTAATATGTTCTGTATGGGCTTTACCAATTACTGTAATAATTATTGTGTTTTTGTCAATAAAATATTTGTATTTGTATTTGTATTTATTTTGCATGGGGGGGGGGGGGGCAGAAATAATATGAGGCGCCGTTTTAATATTTTCTTACGGTTCTTGAGATATAAAGTGTGACAGACAGAGAGACTCCGGATAGAGTGATCCTAAGTCGCTCTGTTCTGCAGGCGACACAAAAAATATATGTAGTCGGAAATAAATATTTTGACCGTCTTTGTTCAATATTTAGCGACCCTTGGCTGCTTCCTGTTTGATTTTGTTTCTACACCACATGTTGATGTTAGTGTCGGTTAGCTGTGCTAATATTAGTGACAGACTTCTTCGACATAAAGAAATATCTATGGTGTGATTCACACATTGATGTCCCGCTTTGTCTTGAATGTATCCACAGCAAAATGAATTACAATATCATCAAATTCAAAGAGGCAGAAGAAATAATGGAAACACAAGAATATTCGCAATTTGTCAAGATAAATGAGTGCAAGCGTATCATTTTCCACCCTCGGTTTCTTGGAAATACCAGAAAAGGAATCGAGGAGGCTTTGAAATCAGAAAGAAATTTGGTGTCAGATAAGTAAGTTTCAATCCTTGATGTTAAGTCAATCATTAGGCGGCACGTCGATTTACCCAAATGGACCCAAATGGACACAAATGGAACCCAAATGGAAATCAAAATGGACCCAAATGGAAATCAAATGGACCCAAATGGAAACCGAATGGAATATTAAATATACAAATACAAATATTTATTATTGTATTATCAAGTTGTTACTTATTTAAAATGAAAATAATGAACTTACAAGTGGAGAATATTTAGTATTCATTTCTAAAATTATATTTTAAAAATACGAATTAATTTTCTTTAGTATTCTTTAGATCAGCAAAATTATTGGGGGGGGGGGGGGGGACACAGGCCCCGTAACCCCCACCCCCCATTCCTCCTGCCATGAATACTATATAAACTTTAAAATGAAATACTTCAATTTTGTATTCAATGATATGCAAAAGTTATTACAAATAGATGTAAAGATTAATTCGTTTTTTAAAATACAATATTAGAAATGAATAATTAATATTCTCCATTTGCAAGTTCATTATTTTCATCATTTTAAATAAGTAACTACTTGAGAATACAATAATATATGTTTAATATTCCATTTGGGTCCATTTGATTTCCATTTGGGTCCATTTAGGTAAATCGACGCACTCATCATTAGGTCACAGGCAATGAATTTCCATCAACAAGCAGGAAATAAAGCCTAAGAATGGAAATTTCTAATCTCCAGATGTCAAAGTTCAACTGACACTCTATAACCATAGGCACTTCCCAGCTTAATTGTTAAAATATATATATATACTATACTATAAACAGTTATGTTTATAGTACAGTAGATATATATTTTTTAACAATTAAGCTGAGGAGTGCCTATGTCTATAACTACTTTATCCATAATTCAAAGTTCAGCAAATTTGTTTATTCAGTATTCACCATAGGTCAAAGTTCATCCAGCATTGCCTATGTACATGTAACAATTCTTCAAAGGCAATGTTCAACTGACATTGCCTGTAACTACTCTATTAATTGGCCAGAGTTCAGGAGGAAAATATTTTAAGAGCATCTCCATATGTCATAGTTTGATAGGCATTACCTGTTGCCTCATTTTTCAAAGGACAAAGCTCAGTTGATAATTGAACTCTCCATTGGCCAAAGTTTAACAAGAAAATTAATATCTAAATACCCTCTTCATAGGTCAAAGTTAAACAACTCTGCCTAGAATTACACTCTCCAAATGTAAAAGAAAAATCAATTTGCTCTGCTTAAAACTTGATTATCCATATCTCAACAACAGTTCAACAGACTCTGTCTAGAATTACACTCTCCAAGTGTATAAAAAAATATATTTAAAAAAAATCAATTTGCTCTGCTTAAAACTAGACTATCCATATCTTACAATAGGTTAAAGTTCAACAGGCATTGCATATAGCTACCCTCTCTATGTCAAAGTCAAGGTTCTCTGTATATATCTCAATTGGTTGACAAAACATTATCATCATTGATTTTAAGCTGAGTTACAAAAAATGTTATTAAAAATACATGTAATTAAGTAAATTAAAATTTGATAATAATGCACTGCAACAACAAAATCATATTAGAACCAAAACCAGAGATCTAACTAAGGAATGTTTTTAGGTTTTGTGTGAGTTATATTGGTGTGTAAATCACACAGACTTATTCACTTAGGCATATTTCATGAAGGCACTAGCCCTTAATGAAAAATATGCCTATGTCTAACTAAAAAACATTCCTTGTATTTACATTTTACATGTTTAAAAGCACCAAAAATATACTCAATGTTTGAATTTCTTGCTGTCCTATATCATTATATTTTTATTAAAGTCTCTGTAGCCTCATTTTGACATCACTTTAACACAAGTTTCTACACATTAGTATACACGAAAATGGCATCCAAATCAATTTCATAGTTGGTTAAGAAGAAAAACACAGTGAATGTAAATGTTGTATCATTATACTTTTGTTTTCTAGGTTTGGTGGTGCTTTGATTGCATATAACAATATTAAAATACAACAAGCTATGGGACTTATTGTTGATCCCTACATCCACTTTGACATTGTTGCTGATTTTATTGTATTCAAGTAGGTACTTTTTATCACTAAAACTCATCATAAATATTTGTGCAGTATGCATTTTTGTAACAATTTTTATCGTATAGATATTCAATAATAGCCTCACTGCTTTCTGACCCACCATTGTTTTTAATCCTTGCTTCCAAATATGCAATATTTTACTACAGTAAAACTCTTTTTGTGCAATTACAGTCATTTCACTGATATATAGGGAAGTTTTGGGGGGTTCTTGTCAGCTTTCTTAACAATTCCTTGTAAAATTAAATGGTTATATGAACTCTGGTATGACAAATATATGGATAAAGTAAGGGGACGTAATCTTAGTTTGTTTGTTGTTTAATGTCCTTCTCGAGAATTTTTCACTCATATGGAGATGCCACCACTTGCCGGTGGAGAGCTGCAAATTTTGACCAATGCTTGGTACTCAGGGCCATTGAGCAGTGAGGGATCTCTTTCGTGCCAACACCTACTGCGACACGGGACCTCGGTTTATACGGTCTCATCCAAAGGTGCCACAGTGGAATTTGAACCCATGACGTAAGGATCAACTCTAGAACAGACGCACTGCCACTGCGCCACGTGGGCGACTTATATAACTTAGTAGTAGTAAAGTTTACGTCAGTGTATATTCTAGGAAATTAAATTTTCTCTAGAGCTCCACATGTTGATGACCTATGAGGGTGTGTGAGGCATTGGCTGAGTTTCATTGCAAACAGGATGAAACTTTCTTAAAGGATTGGTCCCTATGATTTTTTTTTTGTGTTTGTTTATGACAATATATTACTTGATAAAACATAGAAAGAATCCTTCTTGCATCATAATTTGTTATGCTTTTATATGTAGGCCAGAAGTAGGGGCTTCATTGAAGGGTGTTGTACACAGAGTATTCAAAAATCATGTCAGCCTTTTGGTGTATGGTATCTTTAATGTATCAATCAAGAAATCCGAGTCAAATGCAGAGCAACTGAGAGAGGGAAATGAAGTGGACTTCAAAGTGGAAAGAATTTATGTCAACAACAGAATTCTATCCATGCATGGAGTTTTATGGAGGTACCAATACTTACTTTTTTGTTTCATTGTTTATATAGCTACAGATATTGAAAAGAAAATTGCTTGAATTTTCACAAGTATCAAAGATTCCAAGACACCCCCCCCCCCACCCCACCCCCACCCCTTGCATACACACACACAAAAGAATCATTTATGAAAGCTTGAATTAAAAAAAAGTTTATTTTCATCCATGATCAAATGAATATCTGTATATGAAAAAGTGACTTCAAATTTGTTCATTGTCAAGGTGAAAATGTCATAGGTAGAAATCAGAGGTCAGACAAGAATATTATTATTAATACCAGTAGTTTCTACATTTTTATTGAAAAACATGCATAAAACAAACATATTCATTAATAAAGATTTCATCAATATTCATTTTCAACAGATCTGCTGAACTACCCTTGTGTGACACCATTTCAAAGAATAGATGAAACCTGCTGAATGGCCACACTTTGGTGTCACATGTAACCCATTATTTCTAATCCCAATCCTACCTCATTGTTTTTTCTGTAAAACATCTGTAAAAGGTGTTTTCTTCACTCACTCATTCTTGTTTTGATATTTAGGTCTCTCAACATAGCCAAAGTGCATTTCTAATTAATTAGATTTATGTTTTCCTAGTGAGCTCTGAGGATTTAGATTTGGCAATTTTCAGAAATAGTATAACTTTAGTAAAGAAGAAATACTCGTTGTAGGCCAGGTATCTTTTTCTGTCAGTAAAAAGTATGCAAATTATGGACTATATCAAATCAATTTGTATCCATGGTAACTTTTTTTTATGCCCAAAGTTTTATGAAGAGTGCATTTGCAACTTGAGTCTGTCTATCTGTCCCTGTCAAAGAATTCATCATAGCTTTTAAAATTAACTAAATATCTTTACAAAGACAGATTTTATTTATGTTTACAAAGAGACAGAGATTAAGTGCATTTATTTTTTTTGTGGTGGATCAAATGGATGTAGGGAAAATATGGCAATATAAAACATTGGCCAATGTCAGGGCAACAGGAACATTGTGTTTCACACTTTGTTTATTTTTCAGCGAAGAAGTTACAAAAAAGACAAAAATGACCAAGAAAAAATCTCAGAGGAAAACATTCCCAGATGAAGATGAATCAGTGCCTGCAGAGGAGAGTCTGGACAGGAAAGATAAGACAGCAGATAGACTCGGAGAATTGGATGGAGAGGATGTGGAAATGATTGCGGAGGATTCACTTCCTGTAACACACAAGGTACTGGATTATACTAAATGTTTAGAAGTTATTATTTTTAGCTCACCTGAGCCAAAGGCTAAAGTGAGCTTTTTAAGCCAATTTAAACCAAACTCTTCATAAAGCATCAAAAAAAAGAGCAGACAAACAATAAGTCATACTGATATGCTAGTGTCTTTCTGTAGTGTAGATTCAAAGTTGTTCAAGTCATCGAATCAGGCTAGGAGAGGGTTGCAATGGACATAGGCACCTGACATATGGATGGAGTACCCCCACCCCCAATGCCCCAACCACCACCACCACAGTCTGAGATTTTTTTTTTTAATCTTGATAAATTAAGTATCAAGAAACAAGATATAAAAGAGTGAATTGTCATCCTTTTTCATGTAATTCTGGTAAAATTATGTTTGGACAAATACAGTCAAACCTCTTTGTCTCAAACTCAATGAGACTGAGAAATTTTTTTTGAGATATCCGAGGGTTCGAGATATTGAGGGTAAAATACTTAAAGAAAAAGTGCTTGGGACTTCCTAACCACTTCGACATATCCATGGTATTCGAGATATCAGTGTTTGAAATACCAAAGTCCAGCTGTATATTTTTCCAGAGTTTTGATATATGTATATCAATTACAGCAAAATTGAACTGAGTGATATAATTTTTATTGCAACTTGTTTAGGATTATGGTGTTTTTGAGATGGATTGATTGGACTATCCATTTTCATTGATCAAGATAACATGCAATGTACATGTATAAATCAAAAGCATATGTCAGCAGAATAAGGAAAGTAATACCTGGGAAATTGCATATATTACAGGTTACATTGACTAATTATTGCTTAAAAAATATGTAGTTGATATTTCACTACATAAACTGCAAACACTTTATAATCTACCCTCCTAATGTGAATCTGCAATTTTTATTCAGAAATCGGAGAAGAAGAAAAAGAAGAAATCGAAGGAAAAAGTTTGACAGAAAAGTTCGTCAGATGATTCACGCGTGTCAATAGAGACTGCAAAATTACCAACCAAGGTCTGCCAACTGTTTCAAGTGTAGTCAAGAGTACAAGCAATAAAGGACAAAACAGTGTCACTGAGATGATTTCTGTGAATATTTGACAAAGCACTGTTTTCATCCTATGAAGTATTCTTGTACAAAAAAAAAATACCCACATACATGTTTTTTAATTTGTAAACAATATGTGGCCTAGGAAGAAGGTATATTATAATTTTTAATTTTTTTTTTATAAATACATTCTAATGATATAGATTATTTATTTATTACCGTATTGATTCTGGTTAGAGATATTTCTATAACAAATTGTCTTCTTAGAACATGTTTCTTCTACAATCTGACTGTGAGAGGTCATGTTTTAGGAGAAGTTCAATATAAGTATGTTTCAGGTGCCATCAGGTATTTCACTGAACCATTAAGTAAATCAGGAAGTAAAACATGAGTATGAAATCCTAATTGAAACTCTTGCATGATCCCAAATAGAAAATATATGTATATACAGTCAAACCTCATTATATTGAACTCAATGGGAACCAAGACTTCGAGATATCAGATTTTAAGATATTGTGGTTAAATACATAAAGAAAAAGTGTTAGGGATTTTTAATTTACTTCATCATATCCCTGCCCTAGTATTTGAGATGTCGAAGTTCAAGATGTGAAGTTCAACTGTACATTTCTGTTTAGATGACCATTATGTGCATGACTCATATGAAATAAAGCTCAATAAATGATTCACCTATTTGTCTTTCTGTGTTTAGGTAGAGTACAAGAATTAAGTTGCTAAAAGTACATCAATACAAAAGCATAAGAATTCTGTTGGGCTTAGAAGACTCCATGTACTTGTAAACTGTGTAAAGATCAGGAGTAGTTGACTCTAAAAGTGACCTTTGAACTTTCTGGAATGACCTCTGCCCAAGACATGACACACCTTAAAGCCAAAAGTACATGTAATACTTTTATGAAGAATGAACTTCCAGTGTTTTTAAATTGGATAGACATGAGCCAGACATGAATTTCACACTTTTCTTGGCAGTGACTTTGAACTTGCCAAACTGACCTTGGATCAATTTCAAATCACATCCTGACATCATAAGCAATCTTTGTGTCAAATATGATCTCCAATGCTTCTCCATAACAAGATGTGGTCAGGAAATGAATTATACATTTTTAGCTCTTCTGAGCCAAAGGCTCAAAGAGCTAATGCAATGGCCATTTGTGTGGTGTGCGTAAATTTTTAGAATATGGGCCATAACTCAAGAACCCCTTTGCCAATTATTGTCAAATTTGTCAAAGGGTATCCTAGGCCCAAGGGCTCCCATTTATACTAAAACTAGGGTTGTGACCCTTAAAAAAGGGGAGATAATTAGGAAAATAGAAACAAAAGTACTGGTTGCTAAAAAAATCTGCTTCTCAATAACCACTGGGCAGATTATCACCAAACTTACCCAAAAGGATGAGGATATGTTGTAGATTAAAAATTATTCAAGGCATTACCCTGGGGCAAAGAGTGTGGTCTCAAGGTCACTTCAAAGTTGACCAAATATTACATTTTATTAAAATGTCGATATTGTGCTTACTATAAGGACTAGGATCATCAAATCTTGTCAGTTGATCCATCTAAGGACCTCATATCATGTTGACTCAAAAGTAGGTCACAGTGACCTACTTTTTAAATTTTACATCCATTCTTTTTCAAAATGATTTAGAAGCATATTTTGAACAATTTAAGGCCTATGATCATCAAACTTTGTCAGTTGATGCATCTTGGGTCCTCAGAGTACGTCAATTAAAAAGTAGGTCACCTTAACCTACTTTTTGAATTTTTTGTCTAATCTTTTTCAAAACAATTAAGGTCATTAATTTGAATACTGAGAGGTTTAGAATCATTAAATCTTGTAAGATGATGCATCTTGGGGCCATAAAACATTTTTCTTAAAAAGTAGGTCACAGTGACCTACTTTTTTAACTCTGCAGGCATTCGATTTCAAAGCATTTTAGAGGCATAATTTGAACATTTTAAGACCTATGATTATAAAACTTTGTAAGTTGATGCACCTTGGGTCCTCGAAAAATGTCAACTGAAAAGTAGGTCACCATGACCTACTTTTGAAATTTTATGGCTATATCTAAATATTTAGAGTATCATTTTGCTTAGAATCATCAAAATTTGTCAGTTGATGTATCTTGGGTCCTCAGAGCAGGTCAACTGAAAAGTAGGTCACTGTGACCTACTTTTCAATTTATAGGACTATAATTAAATATTTCAGGTACTAATTGGCTTAGAATCATCAAACTATGTCAGTTGATGCATCTTGGGTCTTCGGAGTATGACAACTGAAAAGTAGGTCATTGTGACCTACTTTTGAAATTTTATGGCTGTATTTAATATTTTCAGGTACTATTTGGCTTAGAATCATCAACCTTTGTCAGTTGATGTATCTTGGGTCCTCGGAGTACGTCTTCTGAAAAGTAGGTCACCGTGACCTACTTTTCAATTTATATGGCTATAATGAAATATTTCGAGTACTAATTGGCTTAGAATCATCAAACTTTGTCAGTTGATGCATCTTCGGTCCCCGGAGTAAGTTGACTGAAATGTAGGTCACTGTGACCTACTTTTGAAATTTTTTGTCTTTATTTAAATATATCAGGTACTTACTGGCTTAGAATCATCAAACTTTGTCAGTTGATGCATCTTGGGTCCTCAAAGTATGTCATCTGAAAAGTAGGTCACTGTGACCTACTTTTGAAATTTATGGTTATAATTTTAAAAATATTTTAGGTATTAATTGGCTTAGAATCATCAAACTTAGTTGATGCATCTTGGGTCTTAAAAGAATGACAAGTGATAAGTAGGGTCACCATGACCTACTCTCAAGTACTAATTGGCTTAGAATCATCTAGGGTTCTCAGAGTGTTTCATCTAAATTGTAGGTCATGATGACCTACCTTTGGAATTTCAAGGCTTTATCTAAATACATGTATACAGGATACTTAGAGGCTTCAAATAGAAGTGATAGGTTGTACAGTTTATCAGAAGAGCGATTCAAGGCCCTTGGGCCTCTTGTTCTAAAAGTGACCTTGTACTTGATCAAATGACCTTGGGTCAAGATTTTGACAAACCCTCAGGTCATAAGCAATCTTTGTATGAAGTAGAAACAACCAATGTTTCTCCATTAGAAAGTTATAAACCAGACATGAATTTTACACTTTTTCTGCCAGTGAATTGAACTTGCTGGAATGACCTTAAGTCAAAAGTCATGTCATACCCTCAGGTCATAGAAATCTTTGTGTCAGAATGAACTTTCAGTGTTTCTCCATTACAAAGTTATGGCCTAGACATGACGGATGGACAGACAGATGGGTGGATAAGGTGATTCCTATATACTGTGGAATCATTTTAATTCATTGGGGGTCAATGTTAGTGGGTGAGCAAAATTTTATTGGTTCGTGGAGACCTAATTTCAAAGGTAACTCGTTTATAAGGTAGTTTCAATGAATCACTATATGAACAAAATAATTGTTCGTGGGCATGTAAATTTGTGGGTAAGAGTGACTTGCAAAATCTATGAACACTGCCCTCCTCCCCAAGAACAATGAGGATTCCACAGTACTACCCCCCAACTTCATTTGTGAGGGGGGTATAATGAAGTTTAATCACAGATGTAAGTTATTTTCTTAGAAGGTGACATGATGTCAAGGGTATTGCAAAGTGGAGCATCCTCTTGCAACACCATTTAATTTTAAGAACTCGGCTTCTCACAAAATGAATGTAGATTCAAAACATGATTTTACACTTTGAACCCCTAGCATTACTAGTAATTCCTGGTGGCTTTAACTTGAAAAATCTCAAATGATTGCTAAGTAATTTTGAAGTAAGTACTCCAATGATGAACAAAATGTACGAGGGGTTATCAAAAAGTTCGTGGACTGCTGCGATAAAATTAATTCTATGTAGTCGTTGATTACAAAATTTACAAGGAACATAAAACAACAAAAGTTTAAGAAGTTTTGAAAATTTCAGCTTGATACGATGATAATTTGTCAAAATATCATTGAATAAAAGGGACATTATATGATCACCCGGCGCTGTCGCCATTTAATTTTATGACGTCCGACAACGTCATTGTTTCTCAATGTCCGCTCCCTCTACCTCAATACACTTATCTTGATGAGATTCTCTGGAGTTAAGTAAAGTCCTAAGCCCGTCCTGTTTATATGACTTTACAATGTTATGAACTGCTGATTTCAATGCATTAATATTGTACATAAATCTAAACATAGGGATCTAGATCTTCGCTTGATTATGCCAGCATAATTTTCTTGTCGGAGTTCAATATCAACCTTACATGATCAAGGTCACTTTTCGACGAGACTGATTTTGCACACCCTGACTACAAATTACATTAACTGTGTGTCTCTTCTCTCGCTGAATCCGTTTTGATATTTAAAAACAAGTACTCTGGATGCATTTTATTTCTCTGTAACCTGTTTAAACATTTTTCGGGTTTATGCCAGGTTTTGCAGGGGCTGAAACTTTATAGAATGTTGCAAAATGACACCCTCCCCCCTTTTGACGTCATTTTTAACCCCTTTATTGTTTGGACATTCCATATAAAATTTAGGATAAAATTTCATAGAATATACAGAATGAGGCAAAAATTGCAACTTTCACGGAAAAATTGTGTCACAACACATGAGCGAATTAATGGGATTTTCGGATGACAAATGCTCATATCAGAAGAGGTTTTCTCAGTTACACTCAGGTAGAAAATACGTCATATTCGAGGTTGCGCCGCCTGGACATACCTTTGCTTAGAAAAACATTTACAATTCATTAAAAAAATTAAAATTATGATTTATTGTTTATTTTACAGATAGAAAAGAAGATGCTTATTTAATGTTTAAAAATTCATTGATATATCTCAAACGGTTTTAATTTTATGACGCTAGTCCACGAACTTTTTGATAACCCCTCGTAGAGAAAGGTTCTGAAAAACTACATTACTATTTCATTTACTACAACTCGTAATGCTTTAAATATACTTTTTAATTTCTAAGTATCAAAGTACAAAACTCTCAATATGTCCTAAGTTTACAAGATTAATAAAATCTCACATCTGCCAATCACAACTCATAAAGTTAACCATGTATACTAATAAAAATAAAAGTGTATAGATTCAGTATGCTGAATCTGTACACTAACCAGGACGGATAACATATTTCATTAATCAGTATCTCTCTTGTTTGTTAAATACATTTATATCACAGTACAAAATTATTCACAACCATACAGACCTCGTCAAAGAAATGTCAACTCTCATTCTTCACATTTTCTAAATCATATACCCAGTAACATTTACATCATTAAAATACAGCACTAATATTTAAGGTATTATCATTTTTGCAACCACCTGCACAAATTAAACACTACATTTTCAGACTATTTTAGCTCTTGTACAGGGTCATCTATGAAGTGTATGTGCTTCTCTGCAATTCAAGTTTTTTTTTTTATCTTAAACTATTTTGCATGTATTTCTGTTGCAGGAAAACTGTCTATTTAGCAAATCATACAAGGAAAACCTGAGTTAACATTAAATAAGATTTGATATTGTAAAATTTAACTAATGTGAAAGATCAAATGAAATATGAATAACTTTGCTTGTATAAAGAAAGTGACTTTTAAAAAGTAGTAATATGCATCTTAATGGAAATTAAATTCTGGGGATCGTGATTACAGAGGATCATTGATGCATGTACATGGAAATATACAAGTTTATCTTAGACATTATTTGGAAACAGTTTGCTTAAATTAACTGAACAAAAGAAAAATAGAAATCAACTAGACCATGTAAACTAGATTTAAGTAGATTCTTCAACAAGCATGATTCCCTTTAAATTTGAAATTACTAAAAACCTATGAATTACATTCCCTATAAAATTGAACATTTGCATAGTAAGAAAAACCATATAATGTGATAATAATTAAACAGTCTAATTTGTGATGCATTGCTGCTGTCAAAGGGGTAGAAGAAATCACTGGGCACTTTTGCCAGGAAGACAGGTGGCTCCCCCACATAACCAGTGGCAGGTTGAGATGCATCAATGAAGGTCACTGAGTGCCGCACCTCAAATGACTGATCCACCTCTGTATTTCCAGGTGTGCAACGTGACCCTTCACACTGTGAAAATACCAACACATATATAAATATATATATTTTTTTAAGGTTTATTTTTTCAACTTATAATCCATGGATATATTTGGAAAGTTTAATTCATTCATACGGTATAGGTAACATCCTGTCTAGGCTCATATCTGTAGGAGACTCCTATGATTTTAGGTTGAGGGTTTGCTAAAGCTCCTGTTTTGGCATACAGTATCTCTGTATGCATCCCCAGTGACATGGTACACACAGGGCCATCCTGTGTATCTTGACCCTAAATCAAAAATGTCGTTTTATTTCTTGGTTTAAATACTGAATATTTTTTCTGCATTAATTGTATCATTGCTCCATTGCATACCTTGAAATTAAAATGATCAGTGAATTTATAATGTATACACAATACATGAACTTACTGCTGCAGGTGCTGGTGGCTCTCTGAGAATCTGGACCCAATCTCCTGGTTTTAATGGGTCAGAATTTCCGTAAGTAGCTACCCGCCTCAGTCTGGTTGGGTCATCCCGGGTCACCGTGTCCACCACACCCTCCATTGCATCAATCACTACATCTTGCATAGCCTGACAATACTGGTCTGCAGACACATTGTATAAATTAAACCTGAAATGGCAATTCTATTCTTGGAAAATGTCCCAACAAAAAAGTTATTAGAAAAAAAATCTCTGCATATTTAAATAAGAAAAGTTTACAGATAGCAGAGATGACACAGACAAACTTTGGTCACTGGACACTTTGATCAGAAGAGCTCAGTTGAGTCTTTGGCTCAGGTGAGCTCAAAACTACATGCCAGTTTTTAATCATGCAACACAGTCCTATCTTTATATTTAGCATATACCTGTATTGTAACTGCATAGTTTTGAGACTTAATGAGGCATTTACATGGTACATTGTAGCACATGATAATTTGCATGTATACAAAATATTTCTCATGTCAACATAGCCTCAAAATCACTAATGGTCAACAAGGTACACCTTTAACATAACATAGCTTTTTAAGATCTGATACACACATTCAGATCTAAAGGTTTTATCACTCTCTAAATATCAGAAAATGTAAATTTTAAAGATAAAGTCTGATTTCTTTCACAGTTAAAAGACATTACATTTCAGTAAGAAATGTTCACTGTTGGGTGACATAACCTTTCTCTGATGAAAGTTGTAGCAGTTATACCTGATCAAGCAGCCTGATGCCATGTTGATCCCAAAGTTTATCTGCTGTCTGGTCCCCGCGTCTGTGAGACAGGTGCCTGTGGCTGAGCCTTTGATAATTGTCATGTTATACATATCCTCCACTATGGCATATCTAGAGAGGAAATATGTCTGAAAACACAGTACTATAAGGATGTCCAGCTCGTGATCTGATGATATTTTGTGTGACTTTTTTTTATACAATCTCATCAACTAATGTATGTACAGGTACAAGTACACGTGCATTCACAACACCGAAAATACAAGCTTAAAACAAAGTACTTTTTTTAAATTACCAGTAAACATTGCTTTTCTTTACATTAAAATGACTTATATGTCACAGCAATTGCATGCATATATGTACATATATGTATTTGACATAGAAGCTGTTGGCATTAAACTATTTCTAGCCACCAACCCACATTTGAAGGCTTAGGTCATGAAACTTCCAATGAAATAAGATACTTGCAGGTTTGTTTACACCATATACATCAAGTTAAGAAATTCTTGATAAAGCACACACATGTAGCAGTATTTTTCCCACAGAATAAACCCTAAATATCCAATCTAAATACATGTATCTCTCTTCAATCTATCCTAGGTGACCATTTCTTACCTATGACCACTATCCCCCATGGCATTCAGAACTAAGACACCAGCTCTTACAGGTTTCCCTACAATGTATTATTCTTACCTATTACCACTATCCCCAGTGGCATTCAGAACTAAGACACCAGCTCTTACAGGTTTCCCTACAATGTATTATTCTTACCTATTACCACTATCCCCAGTGGCATTCAGAACTAAGACACCAGCTCTTACAGGTTTCCCTACAATGTATTATTCTTACCTATTACCACTATCCCCAGTGGCATTCAGAACTAAGACACCGGCTCTTACAGGTTTCCCTACAATGTATTATTCTTACCTATTACCACTATCCCCAGTGGCATTCAGAACTAAGACACCGGCTCTTACAGGTTTCCCTACAATGTATTATTCTTACCTATTACCACTATCCCCAGTGGCATTTAGAACTAAGACACCAGCTCTTACAGGTTTTCCTACAATGTACCCTGGGTTGCCACTTCTTTCTATGATTGTCTTATTTATTTCATTTACCTATTGAATAAAAACATAGCTGCTATAATAGTGTATATTTTTACACAGTTACCAAAATCTATCTCATTTACCGTATATACTTGCATATAAGTTGGTCCGCCTATAAGTCGGTTGTATTTTTTAAGCTTATATTAGAGGGCTTGACCCTCTAAAATTCAATCTTTTTATGACTCGCCTATAAGTTGGACAAAGAGTTCTGGACCAAAGTTTAACTCCCAAAAAACTGACTTATAGGTGAGTAAATACGGAAAAATTTTGGAAAAAGTCAACATTTTAAATCTTTCAATAAGCAACTTTTTAATTCCATATACCTGGTTATGCATCATACCAAGAGAATTTACTTTTTCATATGTAAATGGAATAAAATAATAAAACACCACACTTTGACTTACAAGAAGTTGTTTAACTTGCATGTACTTATGGATATTAAATAACATCTTACTGAAGTAAAAGATGAGCCGTAAGTCTGAGTAAGTGGTAAATCAGATTCCTGGATAGACCCGATAGTCAGGCGAACTCCGGCTCGGGAAATTCCATTTGATCCATCATGGGTGATATGATATTCAACCTATGATGGAAAATATTTGCCATTTACCAACGAACATACACATACTTACAATCTGAAGACTTCAAATTGCATTTTATTCTTTAGTAAATTATCACCATTTTTTTTCTACACTCACCCCAAGAACAACATTATTACAATGTGACGTGTTGAAAGTTGCATTGGGTGGTGATGTGGAAACAAATGGACAGTCCACTACAAGTCCAGTCCTGTCCAGGCATTCAACCCTTTCTAGCTCAAACTCCATTGTGTAGCTATTATTATACAGGGACCGCTGAACTAAAAACACCAACATTTAATAAGGAAAGGTACCAAGATACATATGCTACAGATTGAATACGCTGAGCAGGAAACAAGCATTTTTATTTTAAGTTTAATGTGTTAAAGGCATATACATGTATGTACAAATTTCATGCATTTACATATGAATAAAATTAAATAAATGTACATGCAAATGAATATTGATTTGAATAATTAAATACATGTAATCCAAAACCGTATGAATAAAGCTATCTGCGTACATAAAAGCTGGCAAGTAAATGGAGAATAATTAACAAGAATAACGATTCATGATAATTATGAAATCTAACATGCATAAAAATGCATATCTTCATATAGCTGAGAAATAGCCAGAAGGTAAGATAAACTATATATATACAGACTGCTATCAGAAACATGATCAGAGAGGATCAATATGTGCACATCTTGCATTTATAAATGAAGAGGAGAGAAAGAAATTGAAAACTGAATCATAATGGTGGAAAACTCTGGAGGAGAAATGTTCTGCTTCAAGCTGCAATGCTGATCAAAGAGACGTATTAGACAAGGCAATGCTGATCAAAGAGATGTACTAGTCAGGGCCCAGGGGAGAAAAGGATACACTCACAGAGGTGATAAACGTCAATCAACAGAAATTTCTGTGCATTTAACATGAAAGTTTTCCCTGAATATCAGCTTATTCCTGCTTAGTTCTGCTTAATATGTGTGACATGTAGTGCAATTCAATAGCAATGTGCACCAAGCTATGGAGATCTCAAAGCTGGAAATACTCAGTTTTCTATTTCTAAAATTCTGAAGCATTAAAAATAACTGTTAACCTTCCTCATCTGTCACCATGGTAACATTGTCCAATAAAGCAGTGACATTATCAACTGCTAAACCTGTATTAACAATTGTTGGTTTTAATCACATTTAAACTTTAAATCTATAACTATCAATGATGCAAACTTAAAGACTTCAACCTCAGAGGTGGTATATGGTATGTGGTATATGTTTCAAATCATTTCTCCATTTATACAGCATATATTCCTACACAAGGACTGACTGGAGTGGGCTATCAGAGGAGATTTAAATCAAGCCTTAACATCATATAAATCACATTTTAAAGGGATTTATGATTCATTAAACTGCATGGCATCCTGAGGTTGTGGACTGTACCTGTTGTCTGTAGCACAGTTGTGGTGGCCTGGGTGGTAGTTGTGGTGGTCTGTGGTGTCGTTGTGGTTTCTACTGTTGTATTGGTGTCTGCAAATCAGGTCATTTACAGAGAGAAATAACAAAGTGCAGCCATAAATAAAAAATATATACCTTGTATAGACTAAATCAAATAAAATGAATGCACACATTACAACAGTTAGATGAAGTATAAAAATGATTATTGAAGAAAAAATCATGCTGTTACTGAAATCTAATACATTTATTAAAGTATATGTGTGTAGATTTAATCATCTGTATACATGGGAATAAAAACATGCCTGTCAATTTATTAGTACTGTAATGCCATTATTTATCTGCAATTCCTAGATATTCAGTATTTATAAGCATGCTGATAATAATAGTTGGCATAAGATTATGAATGTGTACTCAGTTTGTAATAAAACCAAGATCAAACAAAAATGAAAATTCAGCTACAAGATTTTGAACATATTGTTTGAATTCCAGCTAGACTTTAGGAGCTAAGATCAAATGTTACCATTCGATGTTGTCACGGGAACTGTTGTGGGGGCGGGTGTTGTGGGTGCTGCAGTTGTTGTTGGGGCTGGGGTTGTTACCTCAGTACCATTTATTATCCAAGTAAAAAGGTAGGGTGTCTGTAAAATTAAACATTTTCAGTTACACTAAATATAAATTTTCATGGTATGTAAAAAAAAAATTATACTGGATTAAGTTACTGATAATTTCAGATTGTTTTTCTTATCATTCCTCTAAATGAAATGTCTATACATTACATTTTGGAATACATACTTTGATATTGGTTCACGTACCTATTTTCTTTTTCTTTTTTTTTGGAAAGAATACATACATAAACAATGATAAATAATTAAAACAACAGGTATAGTTCTTTACCTTGACAATTCTGATGTTTGTAAGGTAACTAGAGGCACTCAGGTAGGATGTGGTTTGACACGTAGTGGCACTTAATGTTCTTATTTGTCGAGTACACTTAAAACTCTGGTCAACTAAATAAGCTGTAAAGTATATTTAAAAGCAATTGTCATTCTACATACTGTTCTCTGTTTTCCTAATAAGCAAACTCAGAAATGTACATGTATTTATTACATTTTCAACAGTGAATTTTATCCATTGAATAAAAGTGATACAGTAAAACTTGTTTAGTACGAACACAGATATTGCGAATTCACTGATATAGCAAAGTTTACTTGGATCCCCGAAAAGTCAAGGGCGGAAAATGTAAAAAAAAAATTTTAAAAACCAGAAAATTCAATGTTTTGTAATTAATATGGAATTTAATTTACACATGAACATACATGTATAAAATCAAATCCCTGTCACACTCATAAAATAAATTCCATATACAACTACAAAACATTGAATATCCTCTACATGTATATATTTTATTTTTGTCTTAAACAATATTGAAATTTTTTTTATGCAGAAAAACCATGTTCAGGAAGGTAAATGCAAATTGTCAGTCAGAGAGAGGTAAAAATGATATAATGTGATGGAACAGATGATAAGAGAGGGTAACAAAAAAACTAAAAAAAGCTTCTTTTAGAATGATTCTTCTTTTACAGGAATGTAAATAATTATAAACCAAAGACTTAATAAAGTGCATTGATATCTTTTATTCATGAACAGGAATATCATGTACTTAGAAAAAAACTTCACTCACACACAGGGTTATTGCTGGAGCAGTAAGGATCCCCCTGGGGAATATTTAGATAACCGGTAGCCAAGTTCTCGTACACAACAAAGATAGGGTCTCCTGTCTAAAAAGAAAAATTAAGTAGGAAAATGATGAGTACAGATGTGTAGCAGCATAAAGAGTTTAATTTAAATCATTTTAATTTCTTCAAGATCAAAGCATAGGGTTTCACTTGAGAGTATACATTAATTATATACTTGTTGGGATTTATAAATATTTTCCACAGAAAATGATTTCTGCAAAACCTTTCACACTAATCACTCAGTATATGTTCCATGTTTTGTCATTGATTATTATAATTTGGTTTCAAATATGAAAGCAGTAAACGTTCATACAATATTTTTTCATATTTTTATATATGTATTTCTTTAAATTTTTCATATTTCCTTAAGTTATAAAATAAATTGGAAGTGCCAATTTTACCTTGTAAAATTGTGAATATGTTGTTTCAGCCGACACTGTTGGGGAATAAGTGAACACTGCATATCGATCTTTGTATGAATTGAATGTACTCAAAGAGTCTATCATATCAGGTATGGTGTAGTAATTTCTCTCTTGGTCTAAAAAGCAAAGAATAATTATATTGTCTACACATACTAAAACTTATTATGCAAAGTTATCTGTAGAATTTCATTTAAAAATATTCTGCTCTCAATAAATCAAAAATTATGTCTTTTCTGAAATGGATATGCATACTTTTCATTTTTTAAAAGAGTAACTATATTTAAATCAATCTTATGTATATCCTTGATTAACAATAATCAATACATAATCTTATTGACTTTTAAAATATATCATATTTACATTCTTTACAATACAGCTTATGCTTTTTTTAAAAAAAAAAAAAAAAAAAAAAAGATAAAAATCACACTTACTGTTGTCTTTGTAAATACAGAAGAGGCCATCTTGAGTTTTCTCTGATGTGTAGACGGAATTATCCATCAGGATTACCTCCTCCTGAACACAAAACCTGGCGTCCACACTGGTTATACAATTTATATACTTGATTAATCAGAGACTTCAGTATGTACATTTAGAGTATCTTGTTTATTCTTTTACATATAAACCTTTAAAGTAAGTTTTTTCTTGTTGTTCATTAGAGAAAATTTCATTGTTGTTTTCAATATCAAGTATTTTGGATATTTATGCTAAAAGGCAAGGATTTGAGAAAGATAAATCTATATATGTGAAGATTGATGATATAAGAGGACCCAACTTTTATTTTTGATATCAACACAATCACATAACATACCTAACAGGTGATTCTTTACACCGGTCAAAGGAAGCTCTATCTGTTTGGTCACACTCTGTGTCACAACAACAGTTAATATCACAGGCATTTCCTGTCACGTCACACCAACATCGCCCTACATCTAATGAAACATATACAGGAACTTTCAAATCAACATTTTGAAGATCAAACACTACAGATATGTTTTGGACATCTTTTGAGTCTAAATAAGACCATCTCAAATATAGTCTGTAACTCTCATTAACTTTACTTATGTATCATTATTACATTATTATGCATTACAAATTCAACTAGAAATATGTCCACAGGACAAGAATGCCCTGCCGAGGGTACATTAGTAATGCAACATGAAAAATTGTATTAGTGTATGAAGTTTGATGAGAATATCTTAGATAGTTTCTTTAAAAATGAAATCTAAAATATTGAATAAAGATGAAAAATTCTCACCAAATTATGTATAAGAGCATAAGCTTACATAAAAATATCTTAAATGGTTAAATGCTTTTTTTAAAACTAAGCAAAATGCAAATTTATGAAGAGTGAGGGCAAGGTCACAGGAATTTTCATGGTCAAAAGTTTTTGATGCAGTTGAAAAGCTCTCCCTTATACGTATCAGCATATTAAGTTCCATAAAAATTCAAAATTCAGTGACAATTTTTCGATAGTCAGCGAGAATGTCAGACACCTCGGCCCAACGACACCTCAGCCCATTGACATCTCTGCCCAATAACACCTCGGTCTTGACTGGTCGGCCCAAGATTTAAGACAGGTTGGCCCATACATAAACAAGTCTGCCCAAGCAAACTTTTATTAGGAAGTACGTAATATACTTCCAATCTACAACTTCAATATAAAATTTTGACTGGAAAAAGTAAACGATCATATTATTTTTAGTAATAAAAAGACCTTTCACATGCTGACTGACGGTAATCAAGGAATGAAAGGACAATTAATTATAATTTTAAAAGTGCTAATTGATAAACAAACAAGATAATGCGGTGCATCCATTGGAGTCTCCAGTGCGTGTCATATTGGTGACAATGAGGGAATAATTACGAGCAGGGTTAATTGTGAGACAGTCATTCAGAACATTTACGTCCATTTATTTCTAAAGAATTCCACTTACATTTCACGTCGCTAAACTAGTTTATTTATTTTTCTTTTTTCAGCTATCTGTATCAATCAATGAACATGATGAAAAAAACAATAAAGCTCAGATCAATAATGCGTACTTAAAGTATTATTTTATATGTTTAATTATACTGACATAAGCATAAACAATAAAATGTCCTTCCTTTTTTGTTAATGCAAGATTTCTTCATTTATCCAATTTATGCAATTTTCCTGCAATATAGCTGCAATTGTTAAATTCTCGCATTTACAAAAAAGTAACTAATCAAATGAAGTCCATATGTATCTTTTCACGAATTATCAACCCATCTTAGATGTTTCAGATCATAAGAGAAACAATGCAAATGCTACGATAAAATTCGGGCAATTCTTATAGAAATTCAAGATCATAAAAATGTTGATATATATAGTTTCACTTAAGTGTATATATTGGGCATTTTCCATAAGAGATAGATGTTAGTTAAAGATGTGCTGATCTGATTTGCTTAGGGAAGTGAACCAATTTTCTATTATCAGATTATAGACCCCCCCCCCTTTTGACTTTTATTTTAAAAAATCGTTTAACTGTCAGCAGGGTTCGACACTAACGTTAGTCCGTTAGTCTCAGACTAATACATTTTCATTCGGACTAATAAAATCTGTGGCTAATTAGTCCGAGCGGACCAATAAAAATTTCTGGAAAACAATATGAATAAATTACCGATGTCCGATTCTCGACAACTTTGCTGGAAAACCCCCTGTGTATTTTTAGATTTCTAGCTTTTGGCGGGTAGTTAACGCAATTCTGAGTCAATTCTGCGCTTAATTTTTCGACTGAGTGATCGATATGAAGTAAAAAGTTTTTAGCGATCATGATTTAGTATGAGACTTTATAGAAAGATGTTGGACGTTTTGGATATGTAATGTAAAGAAAAAAAAAAGAGAAAAAGAACGAGATCGGGAATATGGTCGTACTTGCTGATTGCGAGATCAAATATATGCTTAGTTTGTTTATTTCAATAAAAAAAGTATAAAACGTATATTAATTGTCAAGTTAAATTAATGTTAAAAAACATAGATGTTTCTTTTTCTTTCTTTTTTTTTGATGGACTTGTAAAATCGCGTGCGGACTAGTAAACGTACAGAAGCACTTGTCCGGCCGGACTAAAGCCTTAAAAAGTTAGTGTCGAACCCTGGTCAGAAAGAATAATTACACTGATAATAATATCAATTCAGATACTGGATAATTTTTTTTCTATGACAAAATTTCGCTTGGGCCGAGGTGCCTTTTATATCGGCCGACATGTCAATAATCTTGGGCCAACCAGTCAGGGCCAAGGTTTCAGACGTCAAGGGCCGAGGTGTCATTGGGCTGAGATGTCTGTCTACCATCAGTGACTATCATAACAACACTAAAAGAGAGGTATGTGATACTTCTTAGTTCTACAAATTGAAAAATTAATGATTTCACTGAATTAGAATATAAATTTTCATGATGTTTAAAAGCACAAACAGAAAGAAAATGGGTTCTTTATGGGGTTTCATCTACCTTCTTTAGTACTATCTTGTGATTATCACAGCTCCATAATGTATATCTTCAATTTTTGCCATTTATTGCAACTTTAACCATATTCATCAACCATTTTTTTCAGATTCAGAAGTTCGTGATGAAGAAAAAATAAATTAAAAAAGAAGGACAAAAATTTCTTGATTTCTTGGCAAAATGTCTTTAATGCTATCTAGTTTAACTTATCTCAAAAGGAAAGGGGAGGGGGGGGGGGGTCAATGCTGTTGAGTTATGAGTTGAATACTTGAAGTCAGTTACTCGCAGATATTGACTTACCAATATTTGCAGCTACAGCAGATGGACTAAAGGTCTGTATTGGCGGTGCTGTGGTCGGTGGCACAGTGGTGGTCGTTGTTTGGACTTGTGTAGTTGTAGCTTCTGTTGTTGTTGTTTCTGCAGTTGTTGCTTCACTTGTGGATACTGTTGTGTTATTGACCGTTGTGGTTTCAACTGTTGTTGATGCATCAACAGAAGTCAAAAACATTGATAAAAATAATAAACACAAAATTCGTGTTCCTACAAGAACCATGTTTCCTTTTGCCGCCATGATGTAAACAATACAGGTGCATCATGGGTCATTATCTTTCTATAAATTAAAAATAACAAAAAAGGCATTGAAACAACATAAAAGAACGAAGAGTCAGGTAATCATGCAAAACAGCAATTTAAAAAAAAATCATTTTTATTTCTTTACATCTTATACCAAAATCATATACTCGGATAAAAATGGATGATTCGATAGATTCTGAAAACTTTAAAAACAGTTTAATTGTATTATGCTAGTATATATATATATATATATATATATATATATATATATATATATATATATATATATATATATATATATATATATAGAAAGCACAAAGAAATTCACTTTTATAAGGATACCCACTTCCGCCCCAGCCCGGGGTTGAACTCTCGACCTGCGGAATCTGTCTCCTAGCAGTACAGGAACAGCGCGCTAGACCGCTCGGCTATATATATATATATATATATATATATATATATATATATATATATATATATATATATATATATATATATATATATATATATATATCCCGGGCAATAGTAAGTTTAAATGAAATAACAAAACCTTTGGATCATAAATACAGCAAACAAAATATCGCAAAGCTAAATCCGTTTTGATCCGGAAGATTTTTTTGTCATCGGTGCTTCCGGCGGGAAAGCGGCAGTCGAAAAAAGAAAGAAAAGCAGGTGCTCTTACGGCCCCCATCAGGTGAGCTAAAAGAACCTGATCCTCGGTGACGTAATGTTTACTTAAATTTGAATAAAAGCGGGTGACTTTTGGAATTATTGTTGGGGAAATTGATAAGCCAAGCTTTCCTGACTAATATTTTACTCGTGCTGGTAAATAGCTCTTCAGTTTCTGCCTAACTTGGAACTTTTGGTTCTGATTATTACAGGTATAGAAGTAATTCAGTAAAGTTTACTGTCAATCTGTAAACAATCTTAAAAATTATGTATTTTCATGGAATCTGAACTTAAGATGATATGGTTCGTAACTTTGTGTATATATTCCGAAAAAATACGAAATGATGTGTTTTGTCCATTTTAATTTATAGCCAAAGTAATAAAGATGATATAAAATCACCTTGAATGATGATCTCAGGTAAAACAGAAAATAAACTTATTAATTAATACTTTAAAAACACAGGTATTTTTTTTTTTGTTTAGTTTTGTTTTTGTTTTTTTTTTTACATATTTAGAATAGTAGGTACAGTGTACATATTTATAAACCAAGACCCAAGTTCCTGTGATTCAAAATGCAATTTGGCAACGACACTAACTATGTTTACAAAAGGGAATACCAGAGTTTCCAAAAAAAAAAAAAACCCATCGGTCCTACTAGCAAAACCAATAGAAAATTTTTTTCACCAGTCCGCATGACCGATCAATTTCTGCGTTAATCCATTGTTGTTGTTTTTTTTACTTTTTGTTGTACCCGTAAAGTTTTATCTTTTTATCGTAATCTCAAACAGCCTTTAGGCGTAGCAAGTTACTTTCTGGCAATGCAGCAATATAAACTTTAACAGGGGCTGATAATTCTAATCTACACTACTACAAATAATCTAGTTTATTCTGATTGTCAGCATGGATGTATACATGTATTCGAAGCGAGAAAAACATTGAGAAAATGAGCTGAATTTTTGTCTTTATATGGGTTATTTTTTAGTAGTTATTTCCAGTGCAACTCCTGTTGTATTCTTCAAACTCCTTTCGGAGTGGGTCTGCTGTATTTGCTACATTGCATCTATTGATATATGGGACATATTCTAACTGTGCTTGTTTTGAGTCACAGTTAGATTATTTACTCTAATTAATTGTTATCTGATCTATTGCAATGTCTCACAATTGGTGTTGTTACAATCCGCAGAATCATTTACACTTTCAAGGTCCAGTTAGGTTGGCATATACTATACTTTCATGTGAAATGGACCTGTTCCAACCAATTTTGAATTACATCTTGAATTATACTAGAATTTATTCGGACTGGTAGAATTTGTTTTGGACTGGTTGAACACATTAAGTCATCAGTCAAAATGACCGTTAGAAATATTTGGTTTTTGGAAACTCTGGAATGCCATGGACAAAATTAAAATCAACAATGAATAGGTTTTCAAAGAGGTTTCATTTTACAAAAGCCTTAAAGGTCACTGTTATTCAGCAAGTTTTTTTTGTTGTTGGGTACTATATTAGCTGCAGATCTGTAACTTGCTGATCTGAAAAAAGATTTTGGAAGATCGACCAGAGAGCTATTATAATAGTACCACCCATTGAAAAAAATATATATTGCACAGAAAAAGCTGCTGTTTTTTCAATTTATTTCCTTGTATATATCTCAGAAATATTGTTGACCATGTGTTCCTATCAACTCCACAAAACTGTATGTACAAGTCACGCATGAAGCACCTTGGACCGTCTTATCACCCAAAATGGCACTATAAATTATAGACAAAATTTTCAGCAGTCTCAATTGCTATATACATATGTGGTCTCTTAAGGTCTTTCTATAATAATTATTCAGGAATTTATCTTTGCTTAATCAGCTTGTTGAAATAATGAAAATCATAATTTTGACATACATGAAAATAGTTTTAACAAGAATCAAAGTGTCAAAAATATACAAAGTTATGGACCCTGCACTGTTGAAAAAAATTGCTTGTATTTTATTTATGCTTTTATTTTTTGTTTAGAAAAATGCCAGCATCTGACTTTTCTTGGTCACCACAAAGGCAACCCCTGTGTCATGGAATTAAAAGAAAGCATTCTGCTTTTTCACAGAGTGCCGAGTGTGAAATGGATAAAGAGGTAAAAATGTTAAAGTTGTATGGGGCAGATTGTTAAAGAAAAAAAGTAGATAGGTATTATAATAGAAAAAAAAATGTCGTTATAATGTTACCATGTCCATCTGTCTGTTCATATAAATATGGTCTGGCCGTTCTTTTAATTTAAACATTAGAGCTATGATGTGTTTTTTATATGTATGCATAAGGAGTACTTATTTCAGCCTACCTCATGTACATGTGTGCATGTTGAGTTTGTTGAATAAAAATTCCTTTGGATGCTTTAAAGTACATTAAAATTTGCCTGCATTGTTTAATACCAGTGAAACCTAATTTAAATATGAAAAACAGAAGAAAAATACATTTGCACGTGAACTAGATGCTTATTTATATCTGGTAATTTTGACAATTACTTGCTTTTAGGCAGACTTTTTCCCAAAAATAAATTGGAAATTGTTGAAAAGTTGAAAGGGGAGGAGAGAAGCAAAAATAATTGTAGCATCCATATCTTTAGTCTAATCCAAATAGCTATTGCAATTACTGTTGCATAAGAATTTTTTTGTATTTGAGACACTTTAAGCATATGGGTTGGGGACAATGACACAATGATAGGTACATTCCAGGGCAAGATCATAAAACAGTGAATTTTGTTGGTAAAAAGAAGCTTGATTTAAGGAATTGATAACTTAAAAAAAAGACACTGATCAATTTGATAAAAAATAAAGACAAGTTGTTAGTTTATATGAGGTAGCATCATTTGTTAACTCTTGAAATTGTACCCAAAATCTTGTGAGGTTTAGACTACATCAAACTTCCATAAAAAAAAGAGCACACCTATGTGAAGTTAACTGAAGTTATAATCATAATAAAACCTATTAAAGATTGATCCCAATTAAAAATTTGACGGATTCTTCTTCATTTTAAAACACTTTTTTCTTAAAGTTCCATAAAATATGCTCACAAATTTTAGTCACATGAACTAACAAACAAACAGAGAGATAAAAAAAAAAAAACACAAGGATTACCTAACCTACTTCCAGCTTCCTTTTAGAGGTAATATTTCCTGCTTCAACATGTAACTAGCAGGGGCATCAATGTATACTAAAGGTTTATAAATTTTGAGTACAAATCAAAAAGAGTTGGAGTATTTTTATCTTAATTTTCAATTTTTAGCTCACCTGAGCCGAAGGCTCAAGTGAGCTTTTCTGATCACATTTCAGGGCTCGACATTAACTTTTTTCCCTACTTGTCCATTCGGACAAGTGACCAAGATATTTACTTGTCCGAACTTCAACTTCACTTGTCCGAAAAAAATTTCAATAAAGATCTAATACTGTTAACTTGAAAACTAAAATGAATTCCATTACATGTGCTTGATTGATTCATGATGTTATTGATAAATACAACAAACACATAACACAAAATTTTATCTAGACTTTCTGTCCTAACAACAATATAAATGGGACTGTCAACATCAAACAGAGTCCAAACTTCATAATTCCATGCCTTTGCAGTAGTATGCAATTAGTAAACTTCGATCCCAATCAAGTGTGAACTCAACTACATAGTGATCCATATTTGAATCTAACTTCGGTATTAGGAACATACTACTTCCGTCTTTGAACTTCAGTACCGGTAAACGTTTGACAGTCTTTATATTTTTATTATTTTGAGACTTCTTTACATTTAAAAGCACTTGTCCAATCGGACAAGCGCCCAGCAATATTCACTTGTCCGTAATTTTTTTTCACTGGTACCGAACAAGCGGACAAGTGTTAATGTCGAGCCCTGCATTTTGTCTGTCGTCCGTCTGTCTGTCTGTCCGTCCGTCTGTAAACTTTTCACATTTTCGACTTCTTCTCCAGAACCACTGGGCCAATTTCAACCAAACTTGCCACAAAGCATCCTTGGCTAAAGGGAATTCAAGTTTGTTCAAATGAAGGGCCACCCCCTCTTTCAAGGGGAGATAATTAAGAATTTGTGAAAATTTGGTGGTATCTTTTAAAAATCTTCTTCTCAAGAACCAATGGGCTGTAAAAGTTGAAACTTATGTGAGACCTTCATTACATAGTGTAGATTCAAGTTTGTTCAAATCATGACCCCCTGGGGTAGGGTGGGGCCACAATGGGGGGTCAAAGTTTTACATAGGAATATAAAGGAATAAATCTTTAAAAATCTTCTTCTCAAGAACAACTAAGCCACGATTAGTCATATTGATTTGGAATCATCCTCAGGTAGTGTAGATTCAAGTTTGTTCAAATCATGACCCCCAGGGGTAGGGTGGGGCCACAATGGGGGATCAAAGTTTTGCATAGGAATATATAGAAAAAAATCTTGAAAAATCTTCTTCTCAAGAACAACAAAGCCACAATTAGTCATATTGATATGGAATCATCCTCAGGTAGTGCAGATTCAAGTTTGTTCAAATCATGACCCCCAGGGGTAGGGTGGGGCCACAATGGGGAATCAAAGTTTTACATAGGAATATATAGAAAAAAATCTTGAAAAATCTTCTTCTCAAGAACAACAAAGCCACAATTAGTCATATTGATGTGGAATCATCCTCAGGTAGTGCAGATTCAAATTTGTTCAAATCATGACCCCCGGGGGTAGGGTGGGGCCACAATGGGGAATCAAAGTTTTACATAGGAATATATAGAAAAAAATCTTGAAAAATCTTCTTCTCAAGAACAACAAAGCCACAATTAGTCATATTGATGTGGAATCATCCTCAGGTAGTGCAGATTCAAATTTGTTCAAATCATGACCCCCGGGGGTAGGGTGGGGCCACAATGGGGAATCAAAGTTTTACATAGGAATATATAGAAAAAATCTTGAAAAATCTTCTTCTCAAGAACAACAAAGCCACAATTAGTCATATTGATGTGGATTCATCCTCAGGTAGTGCAGATTCAAATTTGTTCAAATCATGACCCCCAGGGGTAGGGTGGGGCCACAATGGGGAATCAAAGTTTTACATAGGAATATATAGAAAAAAATCTTGAAAAATCTTCTTCTCAAGAACAGCAAAGCTTTGTTAAGTCATATTGATATGGAAGCATTCTCAGATAGTGTAGATTTAACTTTGTTTGAATCATGACTCCCAGGGTTAGGGTGGGGCTACAATGGGGGGTCAACGTTTTACATAGGAATATATAGGAAAAAATCTTTTCAACAACAGGAAAATCTCCTTCTCAAGAACAGCAAAGCCTTGTTAAGTCATATTGATATGGAAGCATTCTCAGATAGTGTAGATTTAACTTGTTCGAATCATGACCCCCAGGGTTAGGGTGGGGCCACAATGGGGAATCAATGTTTTAACAAGGGAATATATAGGAAAAAAATCTTGAGAAATCCTCTTCTCAAGAACAACAAAGCCACAATTAGTCATACTGATGTAGATTCATCCTCAGGTAGTGCAGATTCAAGTTTGTATCAAATCATGACCCCTGGGGATAGGGTGGGGCCACAATGGGCAATCAAAGTTTTACATAGGAATATACAGAAGAAAAAAAAAACTTGAAAAATCTTCTTCTCAAGAACAGCAAAGCTTTCTTAAGTCATATTGATATGGAAGCATTCTCAGATAGTGTAGATTTAACTTTGTTTGAATCATGACCCCCAGGGTTAGGGTGGGGCCACAATGGGGGCTCAGTGTTTTACATAGGAATATATAGAAAAAATCTTTAAAAATCTTCTTCTCAAGAACAGCAAAGCCTTGTTAAGTCATATTGATATGGAAGCATTCTCAGATAGTGTAGATTTAACTTTGTTCGAAACATGACCCCCAGGGTTAGGGTGGGGCCAAAATGGGGGATCAACGTTTTAACAAGGGAATATATTGGAAAAAAATCTTTAAAAATCTTCTGCTCAAGAACAGCAAAGCCATTTGTTATATTGATATGGAAGCATCCTCAGGTAGTTCAAAATCCAAGCCCCCCCCCCCCCCCCCCCCTTAAACTTTTCAATACTGAAGTGATTTGTGCTTTTTCCTAGCCAATGTGCTCAGGTGAGCGATGTGGCCCATGGGCCTCTTGTTTGTTTACAGGATGGGGAACAACTTGCTTCTGTGAAAAGAAAGTGTATCACACACACAACTGATATAAGCCTCGACATGAACAATATGTTTGAAATCAACCATAATGATGAACAATCTTATGATCTCAACAACTTCACGGACAATAACAACTCAAACACTCCTAATCTTAATACAGTTCATTGTGATCAAGAGGTAAAATTAATTTAGCATTCTGAATCTGCAATGTGTTGTATTAAAATGTGTTTTGCAAAGGTTTAATTTTTTTTTTTCTTTTTTTTTTCTTTTTTTTTTTTTTTTTGCTCATTGATAAGTTCCTGAATGTGCTTAAATCACTTATAAAGTTGTAAAGAGACTGTTGTAGATCACCAAATTTTTGCACTATATTTTTTGCGAGATAATTATTTGGTATATATAAGCCAGAAAAAAATTGTGGATTTTGGTTATTGTTGTATACATGTATTAATCTTTAATAAAACAAATAAACATGAGAATGAAATTTTGATGATCAAACGACCTGCATAATTATGCGAAATTAGGCAAGTAAAAAAAGGTGATTTACAGTATTTGTTAGCAGCTTAATTTTCTTTTTAGCTCACCTCGACGAAGTCGAGATGAGCTTATGCTATACCCCTGGCATCGGTGTCGGCATAAGCGTCAGCGTCCCGGTTAAAGTTTTAGGAGCAAGTCCCATTCCCAAGTAACTATAAGCCCTACCTGGACCAAACTTGCATGGATGATGCGTCTAGGGATGGACCCTACCACTCATGCTTCGGATGCTGGATTTGACCCAGATTTTCCAGATGAATGACCAGGTTAATGTTTTTGGAGCAGGTCCATTCCCAAGTAACTATAAGTCCTACCTGGACCAAACTTGCATGCATGATGCGTCTAGGGATGGACACTACCACGCTTGCTTCGGATGCTGGATCTGACCTAGATTTTCCAGATGAGTGACCAGGTTAAAATTTTTGGAGCAGGGCCATTCCCAAGTAATGATTAGCCCTACCTGGACCAAACTTGCATGCATGATGCATCTAGGGATGGACACTACCACACTTGCTTCGGATGCTGGATTTGACCTAGATTTTCTAGATGATTGACTAGGTTAAAGTTTTTTAGAGCAGGTCCATTCCCAAGTAACATTAGGCCAAAAAAAATAATAGTCTCGTTTCCTGCTACCAGCCTGAAAAAAATAGGGTAGGTAGGTAGGAAAATTATTTTATTTTATATTTTTATTTTATTTTTTTCCGACGGCATTTTTTAGGATATGAACTAATAAAAGATCAAATTAAACATGTCACAGGTCAATATTGTCTTTTAAAATAAAACTTTCATGTCTTTTTATGCACAACTCAAGTGGTATTTTATGAAATTCCATATTTAAAACAAGAATTTCATGAAATGCTTGTTTTGTGTTAACACAGAAACCGATTACAGTGACAGATCCATGAAATTCCAGAAATTCCCGATTTTATTTTCTTCCAAAACTTAAAAAAAAACTTAAGGGTCAGGTGCAAAAAAATAGGGTAGGTCGGGTAGCAGGAAACAAGACTATTATTTTTTTTGTCCTTAAGCACTACCTTGACCAAACTTGCATGGATGATGCATCCAGGGATGGACATTACCACACTTGCTTTGGATGCTGGATCTGAGCTAGATTTTCCACATGTAAGACCAGGTTTAGATTTTGGAGCAGTCCTGTTCCCAAGTAACTATAAACCCTACCTGGACCAAACTTTCATAGATGATGCATCTAGGGATGGACACTAACCAACCTGCTCGGATGCTGGATCTGACCTAGATTTTTCACTTGAGCGAATTTTTGCTATATTTTAACCAAATTAGCATGGATGATGTATCTAGGGATGGACACTTCCAGACTTGCTTTGGATTCTGAATCTGACCTACATTTTCCAGATGAGTGACCAGGGTATTTTTTAGAGAAGCTTTATAATACGAGGGGCATTTCAAAAGTTCTGGCAACTGGTGTGCTGTAAATTAATGAGCGTCATTATCATAAATTAAATTATATCAATCCCTCAAAATAGTCTCTGTTGACCTGGACACTCTTTTTCAGTCTTGAAATCCACGTGGAAAATGCTGCCCTATAGTCCTCTTTCGGTATACGCTTCATACACTGGAATACGGCACTTCCGACTGCATGATGACTTTCAAATTGCCGTCCTCGGAGGGCTTCTTTGATAACGGCATTCAACCAAAAATCGCATGGAGCTAGGTCAGGACTGTAGGGTGGATGTGGTAAAACGGCAATACCATTTTCCTTTAAATATTTGGTTACTACCTCTGATCTATGGGCTGGTGCGTTGTCATGGAGGAGCTTTATTCCTCTAGTGCTGGTTGTTGGTCGGGTCGTTTTATAGTGCTCTACAGCCTGAGACAAGACATTCTCTGCATAAAATTGACCAGTAACACTGCTGTGTTCTGGAACCGGAACTTGAGCAACAGGGCCTTTAGAATCAAAAAATAAGGCGTACATTACTCTCCGGACAGACCGGTTTCTGCAATATGAGGCCTTGTATCATTTTCACCGATCCAAACTTTATTATTGAGCTTAGTTTCCGGTTCAAAAAAATATATCCATGTTTCATCACCAGTTACAATCTCATTTATTCGCCTTTGGTCACAATCTTCATAAATTGTTAGTAACTGTGAAGCCATTTCTACCCGGATGCACTTTTGCTCTTCCGAGAGAAGATGCGGCACCCATCTAGCACAGACTTTCCTAAGCTTTAAGTTTTCCTTTAGAATACGAAAAACTGCTGACGAATTAATGTTAGTTAAGTCTGCTATTTCCTCAACTGTATATCTAGCATCATCAGCTATAGTATTTTGAACAGCGACGATTTCTTTTTCGCCATATGCACAAACTGGACGCCCCGAACAGGGGTCATCTTCAATTGATTTTCTACCCTCTTTAAATTGAACTACCAATCTTGCTATTGCTCGATATGAAAGAGCATGCTCTCTATATACTACATCTAAATCGGCTTTTATTTCTGTTGCCGTAAAGCCAAGCAATGAGCGAATTTTGAAATATGCTCTTTGCTCAACAAAAAAATTGTTCTCCTTATCAGTCATTTTTACGCCCAGTATACAGAGTATACCTAATTATGACGTCATTTTAGCAGACCTATACGTCATTTTGAATGTAAAATGACATCACTACTAATGCATATTTGCCTATGCTTTACAGTGGTATCAGAGTCAATTTAATCCGTAACGTAGTTAAAATTTTATACACCAGTTGCCAGAACTTTTGAAATGCCCCTCGTATTATGGCCTTTTATGATTTAACTTGCATAGATGGTGCATCTAAGGATGAAAACTTCCAGACTTGCTTTGGATGTTGGAACTCACCACAATTTTCTTGATTACTTAACAGCTTAAAAGTTCTTTGAGCAGGTCTATTTCCAAGTAACTATAAGTCCTACTTAAACCAAACTTGCATGGATATTGATCTTGGGATGTACCCTAACTAGAAAAAAAAATTATGTGAAATTTGCCTTACTTATAGATAACATTCGTCGAGGTGAGCTTCGTAATCTTTGATTACCTATGTTTTAGATGAGACAGAGCTTTATCCCTATGGGGGCTCCTCCCCAGGGGTATGGTGCTAATCAGCTGGCCACAGTATTTGTCCAGCAGTCCAAACTTACCTGTACTGTAATATCACATAACCAGAGTCACACTCAACCTCAGGTAAAACATTTTTCAGACAATAATATTACCATTACTGCAGGTATTACTTTCTTTAAGATATGTAAACTTTTGATAAATTTATGGAACTAAGACACTCCAATATTCTTCACTTTGTAGTTAGATGTCCAAGTACTAGTGTATTTAATTAAGAAAAATAAGAATTGCAAACTTTATACACTTAACTCTGGCAGTATTAAGTAGCCCAGTTGCATACATATGAAGTTTTATGATTCATATGGAGAACGTAAAATATTAATATTTATTCACATTGCAATTTAAATCAGCAGATTGTTCATCCTTTTGACATGGTAAGTGTTAGAAAAGAGCGGTGTGTTATTAAATTTTGCAGAACTTTTCACTTATGTTTTCACCGATTTCAACATATTGCACAAAATAATCAATCTAGAGCAACAAGGAACTTATTTCTGTGTAGTTCAGTTGCAGGAAAGTAATAAAAAAAATTGATGTGAATTTGTTTTTTGCTTATTGCTGTGTCGGACTCTGTAAATGATATTAGTGGTGTTCCTGCTTTCTTGTGTGTATGATCTTTCTAAAATGCACATTATCATTTTTCCTGTTCTCTTTTTCTCTCTAATTACATGGGTGTTGCAGCAAGAAAAAGTGATTACAATATGCAAAGTTTTGGGAATTATAATTGTATCAATAAATTTTTTAAAAAGTAGAAGAAATACCAGAGAGAAAAAGAGAGATAAAGACAATAATAATTAATGGATAAAAAGACAAGAACATGTATCAACTATGTAATTGATATACACATGTGCATATGTGCCAGGTTGTGCCCACAAATTATGAACAAGATCTGTGGTATACCATCATTTTCCCCTCTTCACTATGGTATTTACTTCCTTTTAAATCAAGATCTTTGTAGATTTGGAAAAAAAATGAAATTAAATGATGCCTTGTGATTGTTTTATAGGGAGAAATGATAATGGATTTGAATGATGAGACCTACTCTACCACCCAGATAGACATCTGTAGGAGTGAGGAATTGTCGTACACAGCTATGGACTCCGATTATGTGCCTAACCCAGAGCAATACCAGCTTAACAGGGGAAACAATTCATTTGGGTGAGAAATTGATACAAAGTATTGATTGATTTTTTTTAAGTAAATTACTTCATATGTGTTGTATTTTATTTTGGGTAAATACCCTTAAGTTGAATATGCTGTGTGTACTCTGATCATCAAAGCCCTCCCCCCTCCATGCAATGTATTGTAAGGAGGGGGGATATGAACTGGAATCTCTCCATCTGTCCATCATTCTCTTCCTAAATGTAAACATAGGGTTAAGCTTTATAGTGTTTAAGTTACTCTCTGACTTTCCTCAAGGAGTATCAAAAGCTAGCTTGCAGATCTATACAATGCATCTATAAACACTTTGTATAGCCTTATAGGCTACATTGTGCAAAGAGGACTAGACAGATTGGAAACTCAGTATGGCCTTATGGACTACATAGTGCAAAGAGGACTAGACAGATACAGATACTCAGTATGGCCTTATGGGCTACATTGTGCAAAGAGGACTAGATAGATACAGATAAAACAGTATGGCCTTATGGGCTACATAATGCAAAGAGGACTAGATAGATATGCATACTCATTATGGCCTTATTGGCTACATAATGCAAAGAGGACTAGATAGATATGCATACTCATTATGGCCTTATTGGCTTGATAGTGCAAACGGAACTAGACAGATATGGATACTCAGTCTGATGCATGCTAAATATTCTGCAACTGACTAACATTATATGTTCCAGTGACACTGATTAGGTTCAGTATTTAGGCCTGTTCAAGGTTTAACACAAGTGACATCCAAACCAAGCTTAAAATACAGTGCATCTGTTGATGCTTGGTCTGATGAAAGCATGGAATAATTTGTCAGACCTATATTTTATAGCTGGGTGACTAGTTAAGTACCACATTTTGGCCTGTACATGTATAAGCTACAGTATGTACAGTGTGAAATTTCTGTTTAACGCAGGATTTAGATCCTGTATCTGACATTGTATGCTTTAAGAACAGTGATTAAGCTTATTTTTATCTTACTATAATACATGTGATATTCAAACCAAACCTGCATTTTTGAAATCTTTGTCATACATGAACATGATGTTGCATCTGACCAAAATTCTACACTACAAAAGATTAATTAGTTCATCCCCCCGCTGATCACAGTGCCAGCTTTGATTTGGTGATTTTATGAAAGCTTTTATCTATGGTGTATTTGAAATGTACCAGGGTTTGACATTAACTTTTATGAGTACTAGACCAGTCGGCCTACTTCCAATAATTTTTACTAGCCCTGACCATAAAATCACTAGCCCTGACCAAACTTGAAAATTCACTTTTTATAAGCTGCTAATTATAATGGAAAAAAGTTTCAAACCATACTTCAATAAAGATACCGTCTCTCGCACCTGTTAAGATATATTTTGACAGACTCTTCCATAGGTCGCTAGCCATTGTCGAGGTTCAGCGTGACACACAAATATTATAAGCCTTAATTAAGGAACAATCAATGAACTTAGTATAAAATTAATTACCCTAAATATAAATACATCGGGAATTAAAGAATATATTATTCAATAACTTCATACTAATTTTAAGTAATGAACGAAGCTAGTTCCCATCACAACCTGTCTATTACACCAGGCTAAAAATAGCGATTTTGTCATGAGGGGAAGCTTTCTATTACAAAGCGATGGGTAATATTTACTATCAGACAAATAAGAATTTAAAAAAAAAAAAAAAAAAAAAAAAAAAAAAAACTTTTGAATATTTATTTGAAAGACTGAAATGAGGTTTATCATTTATTTCATACACACGACCAGTCGGTCTAGTTCACGAACATTTTACACGACCGGACCACTCATTTACTAGACTGGGTCGGTCGGACGTGCCTTAGTGTCAAACCCTGTGTACCATGGGGTTATTGGTCCTAATAGGACAACTATAGTTTGAAGTTAAATTGCTTACAGGAAATAAATTACAACTTTCAATTATTATGCATAATAGATGATATTTTTAAAATCACAAGTAATGTGAATGTAAAAGTAAAATTTTGAATATGTAGATACACATGTTCTAATTAATTCTTACTAAGATGATGAAATATATGTGTATTTTATGGATCTTAAGAAGTAGCTGTGGCATGAACTGAAACTTTTCTCCATTGCTGTTACAGATGTTAACCTGTACAGCAGCCATATATAGGCAAGTTATTGTACAACTCAGTAATGCTAATCAATCCTGTAGGTTTTGGTGTATCTTACTTAATCTCACTGTAACATCAGTTATACTATAGACCACTCATGAACTTTTCAAATTCATCTTGTTCATGTTATGCTAAGTTAGTCAAAGCTAATAAGGCACTTACCAGTCAGGTTGTCTGTTTTGTTTTTCTGCACCCAACTAAGTTCTATTTGAACTACATAATAAATATCTGCTTCCTTTGATTAAATCTGTATTCTAAAAGTAATTTATAAATCAAGATCATTACAAATACATGTTATGTAAGCATGTAAGAAAAATACACATCTTGTTTTCTGTTTTCAATGCTTGTATTTAGATTTTCCTCATTTTACCATTTCATATTTAACCAGATTTGCTGCATCAAGATGAGTTTACACTAATTATTTGAAAGCCAGCACTTGGTATTTCTGATCATATAAAGCCACAATTCATTACAACTGAGATTATATCATACATGTATACAGATATTGACATTGCATTATCTTTGTGCTAAAAGATGCATTTTACATGTATTTGTTTCACAGTATGGACTGATAATGTCCTTGTTTGCACAGATTTTAACAATTAACAGTTTAATTAAATGTAACATTTTAAATTTGTGATAAATTATTAGCTCTACTGATCAGGGACCAAAAAGAGCTTTATGGATGGTAGAATGTAAGTGGTTTATCTGTTTGTAAAAGAATTTGTAAAAACCCTTCTCATCATCAAGTTTGTTCAGATTTCAATAAAACTTGGTACATGTACTGCTATTCCCAAGATAGTGATAATTCTTTTTATCTGCTTTTGATTTTGACAATGATGTTGCCATGGTTACTCAACAGAAATTTCTTTCTTAAAAATTTATCCAGACTTTTGTCATTGATAACATTGACTTTTGGCATTGTTAAGATAATACATGTACTACATTGCATTGTCCACAAGAATAGTGATGTTTCTAGGACTTGCTTATAAGTCAGGCATATAGATTTACACCAAAATTTTATTTGTGAGTACATGTAACTATATACCTTAAATCAAGTCTACAATATTTCAGAGTGACAACAAGATCATATAAGTTGTACATTTATACCCTGATCCAGGTGCTGACATTGAAATTTTCTTGTAATTATGACATTTTTCCAACAGAAGATGAAAATAATAAAATTCAAGCAAATTCAGTGCAACATAAATGGAAAAAAATTAGGACAAATCATTGCTGAAGATAAATATGTGAGAGTACATGTATCACTATTCTATTGTATTTAAATGTATTAAAATAAACAATTTCAAGTCCTAAATGTCACAGAGATATAAACTTATGGATAACATAAGTGATCTCTATTAAATTTAACATAATATTCTGCCTGTTCATTGTGAGTGTGAGATTGAGGTGAACTGCATGATGCTATTTGAATAGAAAGTTCTTCATTAAGAAGGAAATTTTTTATTTTATATATATATATATATATATATAATATATATATATATATATATATATATATATATATATATATATATATATATATATATATATATATATATATATATCAGATATATCAGATTATTAAACAGAATGCTGCAAGTACTAATAAATTGTTAACATTTAGTTCTGTGTAAGGTACAATTTTAATTTTAAAGTTTTTAAAACTTTTTCAGTGCACCTATTGAACACAACTCGCACACTGTGAAGAGTTACTGCCGACCTCACTGGGACAATCAAGATCTCCGCCCATATATCTCTGACTATTATTAGAATCTCCATACAGAATCTCCCACCCAAGTCCAAAATATTTCAATTCAAATAGATCTGTTGTTTTCATATACTTTTCAGCTTATTACAATTTTAGATTTTGTAAATAATTTTGTGGAGTTTTATAGTTTTATATTAAACAGTTTTATGACTGGCTTGCACCTGTTTATAATACATGTATGTTTTTTTCCTGGATGTAAAAATTATTTTTTTATTGCTACATTTAGCAATTTTTTGTTGTTCATATTTATGAATCATATGTCTTTTGTTTTTTTTTTGGTTATTGGGTATGCATTGTCTGTGTATTTGTAATTGAATGGGTAATTTTCCAGTACATACATGGTTTATGCTTTTCTTGCATGTTCCAAAGACTTGATTTGTTCGAGGAGAATGATGCATTTGATTAAGTTAGTCCTTATGTTGAATGAGTTCCAGTACAGAAAATCAAATCAAAGGTGTTACAGATGTTTTTGGGATGACCATGTCATTTGTAAAAGTTGCAATTGGATCGAAGCACAATATATTAAATCATGCAATTTTAAATACAAAGGGGGATAATTAGCATGTATGATGCAGAAGTAAATACATGTATATGCAATGTACCTTATAGAATCTACAGTGTATATGACATACATGCATTTCACTTTTTAAATGTTGTTTTTTTAAGTGCATATCACATTTTGAGATGCTCAAGAATGTTAATGTATCCAATACTACATGTACTATGAAAACAAAGAAAAAATTACCAATGATGGTATATTTCAACATACTTGCTATTTTCAATATTTTAATAATTTTTTCATGTATGCAAAAACAGGCATCATTTAAAAATGTAAATTTGTTGAATTTTTTTTTAAAAGAATGAGTCAATAAAAGCAGATTAATTTTGCAGTTTGTATTATTTTGTTACTGTTACTGGTTATAATCTAAATGATTAAAAAGAGAAGTAAATTACAAAAGCTATTTTTCTAGAGCTATGTCTACTGGAAATGACCGTAACACAACAGGTCAGAGTACTACCCTCACTCAGTCACTGGTAAAACATACATTGTTAAATGCATCGTGGTATTCTACTTACGACTTTCCATTTCAAGGCCAAACTCGTATTTTACATATCTCACCTGTAGTGAAAGTGAAACGAGTTATAAGTAGACTTGCCATGTGAACTTTTATACAAACAGGTAGATGTCTTGGTAACGAGCAGTCTTTGTGTCAAGTAAAGACCATCTGATGCCCCTCAAATATAAAATACTGTTCTTTTATAGAAGTTAACATCTCAAAACTATCTACATGTAAATTACCTGAGCTTTGATATACAGTGTGAATTTAGATCTTTTAATTCTACTGGTCAGAAGAGCTTATGCACTGAAAGACAACTTTCACATTTACAATAGTTATTTTCCTTTTCGGGGTCAACCAGCATAACCCATCATTTTCTCTTTATAATAAAACAAACTTTGGGGTAGTGCAAATTAAATCTGTATATATGGTCATTATGTTTTTGATGCCCATACTATGGCAATACAGCAACAGTACAAAATTGTCTAAAAATGTATGAAGGATTAAAATATTTACAGGTAACTTGCAAAGGATGTATAGTGAGAAAAATGATAGGTATGCCAACAAAGGGAGATAACTCATAAGAATGTGAAAGTCGTCTATAGATAAGGTGTCCATCTGTCTAAAGAAGATGGGCGAACAAGGTGAGCGCAATGCCTGTAGTGCAACAAACATGAAGGTGAAAAATTAAATCTCAACTGTAACAAAATTTTCTTTGATATTTCATCTAAAATTAAAGTATACGCTATGTAAAATCTCCACAATTTGCAAAAATCTTGCTAAGATTGAAATTATTTGCCTATGAAATGGCATACACACACTAGAGAGGGCAAAAAGGATCATTTTCTCATACTTAAAGACAATTTTTCAATATGAGTGGGTCTTTGCTCCATATTTTTTTTAAGTTTATCCTCAAAGTTTGCAAAAAAATACACATTTTTTGGCCAACAAAAACATGGAGCAAAGACCCATTATACCTTAAAAAAACATTTTATGACACAACATTTGCATCTTTTCGAGAAATACTTGGAAGTCCATTAAGTCAAGGATCATAACACAAACATGATTTAAATGCCACAATTCATCAAGAGATGTGTGGTTAGTGGTTAGCGCATTAATAGTCTCAAAGGAAAATGATACTTAGGATTTTTACTGCTAGGGTTCGAGCCCCACAAATACCACTGTGACATTTTTTTAATAACAGAACAATTTGCTGAGAAAATTTTTCTCAGAAAAGTTCTGTTTATCATAATTTCATAAATTTCAATAATGAGAGCTTTACTCTAAATACTAAATTCACAAATTGATTATGATTTATATATAAATATCTGAAGCTATAGGCATTCTGCATGCCTTGTTCACCCATCTCCTTTTTCAGAATGCTACTCTTCAAAGTTTGGTCTGATTTCAATAAGACTTGGTACACAAGTAGACTATACTAAGATACATGTAATTCTATTTGTTGGTTTTTAACTTCTTCTAACAATGTTGCTATGGTTACTAAAAACAGACATTTCTTGAAATTCTTTCAAAATACTACTCCTTCTACAGTTTTGGAAATTTTAAAAGGCTATTCCTCCTACCGTTTTAATCTTATTTCATTAAGACATGGCACATGAAGACTTCACCAAGATAATATATATCAGTTTCTGATTTTAAGAAAAAGGTGTTGCTGTCAGGTTATAAAATTTGAAAATTCATTCAAAACATTTCTTCTCCAACAGTTTTAGTCCAGTTTCATTGAAACTTGGTACACAGTATGACAGTTTTGGTCTGATTTCAAGAGAACTTTCTACACAAGTAGACTACACTACAATACATACAGTTGAAAACTTCAGTATCTCGAACACTGATACCTCAAACACCATGGATATATATGTCAAAGTGATTTGAAGGTCCCAACTACATATTCTTTTTATTTTACCCTCAATATCTCAAATCTTCAGAAATCTCCAAGTTTTTCTTGGTCCCATCGAGTTTGAGATCACAAGGTTTGATTTCTGTTTATTGGGTTTTGTATATGGGTTTCCTGTCAAATCTAGCCTCTAAGTATTAACATCATGACTTTGGGTAAACATCCAAATCAGATAGACCAGGCTCAAAATCACTTGGTCAAAGTGAAAATAAAAGATATATGAAATAAATAACATCTTGTTATGCATAGAACATACTGTAAAAGTTTACAGAAACATTAACACTCTTAAGTTAGTCATAGCTTTAATAACATTATCACAGTCTCCAATAGCAAAGTCACTGACATGACGATATTAATAAATAAAAATTTGTATTAATACTTCTTCATACAAGCCTGAAGACAAACATTTTTGTTTCACTCTTCTCATGTTTAAAATTTGTTATTATCTACTGATAATGTTTTAAGCTCCTCATAAATGTACAGTACTTATTTAAGAAATATCAAGAAGGAAATTGCAAGCACAGAGTATGAACTGCACATTCTCTTACTTTAACTAATGACCCAAACCTAGTAAATAACAGGTCTTTTCCATTGATGAAAGCAGTTAAATGGAACTGATATTGCACAAAACATTGCAGAAAGAAATAAATAGGTCAAAACACTTAATATGGAATGTTCAAGAAAAACATATATAAATAGATATTCTTTAACATATGATAACATTATTATAATGAAATGATAATGTTAAACATGATCTGAAATTAAAAAACAAACTATACTGACATCTTTGGCAGTAATTTCTCTTTTATCATATAAAGTTACCCAAATATATCTGATATATCATTACTGGTGATATTTGAACTTTGTGAGTTACTAGATCCTTGATTCTGGGGTATATTCATACTGTTCATTGGCATGTTAAACTGTCCCTGCATCATTGGAGGAGGTTTTCTCATCATATTTTGTTGTCCCATAAATCCTTGATTTCCCATCATTCCTTGACTTCCCATTATTCCCTGATTTCCCATCATGCCCTGCTGTCCCATGAATCCCGAATTACCCATCATCCCCGGCTGCCCTGGCATCATATTGATCTGTGGTCTCATTGGCTGATTCATCATTGAACTGAATGAAGAACTGCTCATAGGAAGAGAAGACCCTTGTGACTGAATGCCAGACATTTGATTCAGAGTTGCCTTTGGTTGTGTGGTACTAGGAAGAATTGAGTCGAATGCTGACAAGTCAAATGACTGTTTACTGTTTGTTGTTGATGTTGATCGAATTCCTGAAGAACTCTGAGACTGCCCCATAGATCCTACCCCTGAATAATTTGGGAAGCCACCAGTACTAGACACAGCTTGTGAAAACTGCATAACATTTGAATTCATACTCTGTTGTCCCATCAGTCCTTGATTTCCAATCATCCTTGGTTGCCCCATTGTGTTTGAGTTCATTAATGAAGCCGTTAAATCTTTGGGTTGTGACTTTGATACTGAGGGTGCAGCTTTACTGGCAGACATCGTCAGGGGCTTCTGCTCCTTAAACCTTCTCTGTTGTTCCTGTTGCTGAGCTAATCTCTGTTTTTCCTCTAAAGAGAGTGTCTGAAAGGTATTTTCAATGAAACAGTTAATACATACATACATTAATCATTTGTTGTTAGATATGCCTAAGTATTTCAAGTTTTCAATGAAATCAAACCAAGTTTACCTTTGGGACAGATTTAGATTCGCTGTCCTTGGCACTGGCTGGGGTTGGAGTTCTAGATGGCTCTGGAGTATGTTTACTATTTGTGACAGTTTGTTCAACACCAAACCCACTCAAAAACTGGTCCATCTATGTAACAAATTAACCAGAAAACAAATTTTTTAACAAATCTGTGAATTCCATATTTCTACTTCATGAATTTTTTTTAAATATTTACTGATGTATTTTCATAGTATTTAAATATAAGTCAGACAGATGCCAGGTAAAGTAATCGCTCTGCTCTGCAGGTGACACAAAAAGTTAGTCTTAAAAGACAGCTAAACTCTGCACACTAAGAGTTCTATTGCTGTAAAATTTTTATGCATGCAGGTAGAGTAATCTGCCCTTAGATCTAAAATAAAATAAATTGAAATTTGGCCAAGAATGAATGATACCTTATGTTGAAATGTAAAATGATAAACTCGATATTTACACCTTTGTATGATCAAATTTCTTGATGTCCAAAAATTTTTTTTTATTTAGTGTATAGAGGGTCCTTAAAAGATTGAAATTTTGTGATTTCTTTAATGTTAAGCTTTAATATCTACTTAAATAAGGCATTCTTCTCTGTCACAAAGTGAACTAATATATAATAGAGATCATTGAGTACATATATACTGTACCATAGTTTTAGGTTCCCCAGTTTTAGTAGCTTTTTCATCTTGTCCTGTTATTTTTGTAATTTCTATAGTTCTGAAAGAAAACATGGTTGATTGTCCATCAGACATTGTCAGGGTAGCTGACTAAGTAACACAACACAATCAGTTAATAGACCACCAGACAATGTGGACCTGATTTAACCTGATTTAGAATATGGAATTTATTGCATTACTTGAAAAACTACCAGTAGAGTCTATTACACAAAATTAAAATAATTTTTCGTAAAACAGTTTTGTTTTAAACCACATTTAAAGTTCATCCTTACTTTTGTTCTTGTCTCATTTTGTCGATCTGTTCGAGTTTACTGGAATGCTCTGCCTCCAGCTTGTTAATCATATCCTTGATTGTTGTTATATAGGCACTGAACTGTTAAAAGTACACAGTTCACAGTGTATTTAAAGCAATATGAGCTGCAACTTGATGTCGGAAATTCTTGTTGCAAAATCGTAATTATCTATTTCAGTGAGAGGGAAAAGGAACATTTATAAACTTCTGTTGTTCATATTTGTGATGGAGGTACTATTTATACGCTTTGATCTAAGCAGAATTACATTATTGTCGTCCTGTACAAAATTGATTTCTTATATAATTATATATATTTGATTGTACAGAAGTCTGTCTTCTGAGACAATTTTATACTTTCTTTTAGTCTAATTGATCATAAAGGTTTAAATCACATACACATTTATCATAATAACACATTTTAACAGCAAAATAAAATTTTCAAAAATGCAGCTCATATTGCTTTAAAGTGATCATACTTGCACAAGCATTTAAACAATGATTTGATAGCTACTGAAAAAAATCTAATATGATTTTTTTTTAAATGTGAACATTATACATATGAAGATGGTTGTTCTCTAACCTGTGATAGATTGAGATTACTGTCAATACTGACTGGTATCAGAAATGGTAGAACTTTGGTAGCCAGAATGTCCTTAGTAATCCCAAGTTTAGCATGGGACATGGTCACCTGATAAATTCCTACAAAAAGAGAAATAGTTAGAAAAGTTTTAGAAACAGTCTAAATTAAGTGTCTGTAATGTCAGTGAAAAGTATTAGTTGTCTACTGTCAAAGGTAACCACATAAGTATTGGTTGTCTACTGTCAAAGGTAACCACAATAGTATTGGCTATCTACTGTCAAAGATAACCACAACAGTATACACTTATCCACTGGTGGTGAGTGGGATAGCTCTTTTATCAAACCCGCAACAGGAACTATTCCCCGAGGGCTTGCCCGAGGGGAATAGTTCCTGTCAAGGGTTTGATGAAAGAGCTATCCCACTCACCACCAGTGGATAAGCGTTTTATTATACTGATGTATATCATAATTTCTGAGGGTTGAATTACTTGATACTACAGTTTCTTAGGCAAAGCATGAAAACTTCAACAGAATATTTGTAAAAATTGTGAGCAAGTATTTGGAGTAAGATTATAACACTGCAAGAATGAGCTGAAAATCTGATGACGGCACAATGCTACTGAAGTCGTGATTACATCATCAGTCTATAGACTGATAACAGGAAATCAAAATTGGCGGCAAAAATTGCATGAACATTTTCCGAGGGGTGGATAGCATAAACTATACCCCGGGGTATAGCTTTGCTTTGCATGGAAATTTTCTGACTATAAAAGATAGTTATTTTACCTTGTTTACTTTATATAGGAAACATTTTAACAGAAGTATAATAATATTGGTTGTCTACTGTCAAAGGTAACCACAATAGTAAATTTGATGTCTATCATGACTTTCAACCTTGCGTCTTAAAAACCAGTGGAAATATCTTTACCAGTTTACCAAGTTTTATGTCCGTCATACAAAAGGTTCAAAAGATACTGAGTGGAAAAAAAGTCCAGAGTAGTTGAAATGTAACCTTTCACCTTGTAATCTCAAAATCAATAAGGATGATTTTATTTTAGGGGGTATCAGTGTACCAAGATTGATATCTGTCAAGCAAAGGGTTCTCCAGATATAAAGTGAACAACACTCTATGACCGACCTACCAAAAGGTGCAAACCAATATGCCCCCCTTTCTTCAAAAGGGAGAAGGGGGATAGAAGGTTGCTTGTATAAATATCAAATAATGCACAATGAGTTAATGCTAACACAGACATCCACAGATTTTCTTTATTACATATGAGTTACATTTCACTGTTTAAATGTCACCTCTTGATAATAATTGACTTTAATCAGAGTCATTATCAGAGGTTATGTCCCCTTACCCAGAATGCTCATTAGGACAGCGGGCTCCCGGGAGGGTATCTGAGGGAGGAGAGGCAGGACATCATCCAGAACGGTCCACTTATCCATGTACTCCAACAATTTACCAATACACAGCAGACAGTTAATCCTCACCTACAAAAGTTGGAAATATAATTATTTCTGAAAAATATATACAGTAAAACTTGTCTAATCTGGACACCATTGATCCATTGAAATTGGATGTATTAGACAACATTTCAAAGAATTGTATTTACTAGAAGGGACTTAAAGTTGACATTGTTCTAGGCAAGATTTCATAATACACAACAGCTGGATTAGGCAAGTTTCACTGTATATCAATAATCAACCATTTTAAACTTTCAGAAAAATAATAGGTTTCTAATTATATACAGTCAAACATCATTGTCTCAAAATTGATGAGAACAAGAAAAAACTTTGAGATACACCAGTATACAAGATATCAAGGGTAAATACTTAAAGAATAAGTGGTTGGGACTTCCAATTCACTTCGACATACCCATGGTATTCAAGATACCGAAGTTCAGCTGTATGATATAGTGGCAGTTAATTAATCAATACACTGTACTTGGTTGAATAATTTTTTAATTTATTAATAAGATAATTTCTAAATAATACCTTCAACTAGAAAGTCCATAAAGAAATGAATGCCCCACAAAAGGAACACTTGTATTTCAACACGAAAAGAAATGTACCTTCCTTATTTGTTTAGACATATCTGACATAATAATAAAATATGATGAAGTAGAATAACTCACATACTTTTTTCATATACAGATTGATCCCTAGGTACAATTGTCGTTTTTTACAGCATAATATGTAGTGTTGATTCATCTTATCTATCATCTAACAGCTAATTGAAGTCTCATTATTTCAAGTTTATTCTCCAATACTTAGTAATTTTTAAATAAACAATCTCTTAAATATATATTAAGTATGTGTGGTTAAAGATTTATTGGTGTATGGAGTTTTATGAAGTAATCTTTTATGAAATCATATAAGATGAACTAAGAGTAAAATGAGGCCAAATGTGAAATTCAAGGTCATAGGGAAGGTCAAGGTGAAAAAAAACTGTATCAATGTACAGAGTTTGATGAAAAAATCTAAGTGCAAAATAAAGGAATAGTGAGATCTGTGTTATTGGAAAGGTCAAGGTGAGAAAAAAAAAGTTTTATTGCTCTCTCCAATATGTCAAGGTCAAGGGAAGGTCAAAGTCATAAGGAAGGTCAAGGTCAGAAAATTATGACAGAGTTAAATTGCTCTTTCCAATACAAAATAAGTTACTTTGTATAAAGTTTTATTAAAATATTGAAGTTAAGGTCATATGAAAGGTCAAGGTTAGTAAATTATGATAGAGTTGAATAGCTCTCACCAATTTGTATTAGAGTATGAAGTTTGATAAAAATTATGATCAGTGTCCTCTACATTACGCTACCTGCAAAACAATTAAAAGTGAAGTCAAGGTTATGCAGAAAGTCAAGGTCAGAAAGTTAAGATACAGTGAGTTGAATAACTTCTTTGTAGGATGTGACATAAAATATCTTGCAAAATGAGGATATCTGGGTCAAGTTTATAGGGAAGGTCAAGGTCAGAAAATTATAATACAGTTGAATAGCTCCTATCAATTTTCATCTTTGTATGAGGTCCTTGATATTAAGATAAATGCAAAATAAGGAATAGTGAGGTCAAGGTCATAGGGAAGGTCAAGTCAAGAAAATTATGGCACAGTAGAATTGTTCCAACTTATATGTATCAGTGTATGAGTTGTGATGAAAATATTATGAACAGTTTCTTCTTATATGTGCTAAATGCAAAATTATAAATAGCTAGGTCAAGAACATAGGGCAGGTCAAGGTCAGAACATTTTGACACATTGGAATAGCTCTCATCAATTTGTATCTTTGTATGAAATTTGATGAAATATCATGATCAATTTCTTTGAAACTAACTTAAATGCAAAATAGGCTATGTAAATGTTTAAAAACTGGGATACAGTTGAAAAGCTCCCTTCATTATGTATCAGTGAATGAGTTTTGATAAGAAAAAAAAATCTTCATTAGTTACTTTGAAACTAAGCTTAACACAAAATAGGAAATAGTGAGGTCAATGTCACATGGAAGGTAAAGGTCAGAAAATAATGACATAGTTGAAAAATCTCCACCAATATGTATCAGTGCAGAGTTTTGATAAAAATATCTTGAATAGTTACTTTGAAACTTACCTAAAAACAAAATAGGGAATAGTGAGGTCAAGGTCACTGGGAAGGTCAAGGTCACAGGGAAGGTCAAGGTTAGAAAATTTTGCCACAGTTGAATAGCTCTCATCAATATGTATCAGTGTATGAATTTTTGTTAATATATATTATCTTGAATAGTTTCTTTGAAACTGCATAAAACACAGTTTGATGGACAGGCAGATGGAAGGACATAAGACAGACATGACAAACATTATATTCAGTCTTTATGGTGGGGCATAAAAAAACCCACTGCAAAAATAGCAGTATACATTTATGTTTAGACCCCCTCCTAAAAAATAAACAAACAAACTTCTGTATATATGGATTACGTGTACATTTTGTATGCAATTACAGATTAAAATTTACATTCAATATACTTCTGGTACTACTCTAAAATAACACTGACAGTCTGGCAGCTCGACTTACTGAGAGGGTTCCTGTTGAAAGACAGATCTTCTTTATCCGAGGCAGAATGGATTTTTTCAAAGCAGAAAATTCTATCAGTCCAGCAAATGTTGGCACAATATCCAAACACATATCCTAGGAAAACAAATCCTTCAATTTTTAAATGTTTAAGGATGTACCTGTACCATGTTCTTTTATATTTATCATAATTAACTCCAATATAAACAAGTGCTAATGTAGCAAATTATTTTGCTACTAAAAATACTTAATGTTCACTGTTTTATCAATGTTCAGGAATGTGTTCAATTCTAAGCGGCAAATATTCCCAACATTAAAGGTATATTGTACTGAACATAGGATTCTGAAAATTAGAGCCCTTATATTTTGACTCGGCTCAATATTTTGCAGGGAATTTGCATGGTGCAAGATACATCTATCATATGTCATTAATGTTAGCTTGATTTTTTTTTTTTTACTTTAACTTTTAGACCACTCATTCTATAACTTCAAGAAAACTTGTATCTAGAATTTTTACATGAATATTATGGAGGAATTTCGGGGTAAAATACAATGTTCTGTGTCAATCTGCCTCAAGCAACTAATAAATCAAACTTAAAATGTGATCATTTACTGTAGGTGAGAGTTACCTGCTTCCAATAAATGATGAATCATGGGTAAAATGTACTGTAATTGTTTCCTGCAGTTGAGAGTTATGTACCTCAAATGACAGATGAATCATGGGTAAAATGTGCTGTAATTGTTTCCTGCAGTTGAGAGTTATCTACCTCAAATGACTGATGAATAATGGGTAAAATGTACTGTAATTGTTTACCTGTAGTTGAGAGTTATCTGCCTTGAGTGACTGAGGAATCATGGGTAAAATGAACTGTAATTGTTCACCTGCAGTTCAGAGTAATCTGCCTCAAGTGACTGATGAATCGTGGGTAAAATGTACTGTAATTGTTTACCTGTAGTTGAGAGTTATCTGCCTCCAGTGACTGATGAATCATGGGTAAAATGTACTGTAATTGTTTACCTGTAGTTGAGAGTTATCTGCCTCAAGTGACTGAGGAATCATGGGTAAAATGAACTGTAATTGTTTACCTGTAGTTGAGAGTTATCTGCCTCGAGTGACTGATGAATCATGGGTAAAATGAACTGTAATTGTTCACCTGCAGTTGAGAGTAATCTGCCTCAAGTGACTGATGAATCATGGGTAAAATGTAATTGTTTACCTGTAGTTGAGAGTTATCTGCCTCAAGTGACTGATGAATCATGGGTAAAATGTACTGTAATTGTTCACCTGCAGTTGAGAGTTATCTGCCTCGAGTGACTGATGAATCATGGGTAAAATGTGATTGGTAATCTCATTCTTAGGAGTCTTCTTCAGCAGTAATTTCATGTTTTGCATAAAGATCAGTGATACCTATAAAATGATTTAAACATCATTGAAATTTTAACAATTCAAAGTATTTAACCTCACCCATTAGAATTAGTAAATTCAATCAACATGGATATTTGAATTAATTTTCCATTAGAGAAGAATAACACTGGATTGATAATCTTTCTACTTTTTAACAAATAATTCCCTAAGTTTATACATGTAAATATTTAAATTTTACTTTACATTAAAACTTTACTATTACTCACTAAAGGAATAAGGGCCTGTTATTTGATGGCTTCATACAGTGTACCTGTATGGGTTCTTTATACAGTGTACCTGTATGGGTTCTTTATACAGTGTACCTGTATGGGTTCTTTATACAGTGTACCTGTATGGGTTCTTTATACAGTGTACCTGTATGGGTTCTTTATACAGTGTACCTGTATGGGTTCTTTATAAAGTGTACCTGTATGGGTTCTTTATACAGTGTACCTGTATGGGTTCTTTATACAGTGTACCTGTATGGGTTTATACAGTGTACCTGTATTGGTTCTTTATACAGTGTACCTGTATGGGTTCTTTATACAGTGTACCTGTATGGGTTCTTTATACAGTGTACCTGTATGGGTTTATACAGTGTACCTGTATTGGTTCTTTATACAGTGTACCTGTATGGGTTCTTTATACAGTGTACCTGTATGGGTTCTTTATACAGTGTACCTGTATAGGTTCTTTATACAGCGTACCTGTATGGGTTCTTTATACAGTGTACCTGTATGGGTTCTTTATACAGTGTACCTGTATGGGTTCTTTATACAGTGTACCTGTATGGGTTCTTTATACAATGTACCTGTATGGGTTCTTTACACAGTGTACCTGTATGGGTTCTTTATACAGTGTACCTGTATGGGTTCTTTATACAGTGTTCCTGTATGGGTTCTTTATACAGTGTTCCTGTATGGGTTCTTTATACAGTGTACCTGTATGGGTTCTTTATACAGTGTACCTGTATGGGTTCTTTATACAGTGTTCCTGTATGGGTTCTTTATACAGTGTACCTGTATGGGTTCTTTATACAGTGTACCTGTATGGGTTCTTCATACAATGTACCTGTATGGGTTCTTTATACAGTGTACCTGTATGGGTTCTTTATACAGTGTACCTGTATGGGTTCTTTAATCTTCAGTAGAGGAATAAGAGCAGGGAATATAATAGTTCTGTACTCTGTTTCCGTCGCCTGGTCAGCCATCAGAAGGAGGCTGGGGAGGGTAAAAGGGACCATGTCAGCATTCACACTCTCCTTCACGAGGGGAGGCAAGATTCGCTGTAGGTTCACTCTCTACAAATCAAAACTAGTCTTTGTTAATTCTTCAGTGAACATTGTAATTTACATTACATTACATTCAAAAGATGTTAATATTATTCAGTGAATGTTTCAATTTACAGTAACTTTCAAATAAACTGCAAAATCAACAATTCAGCTAGAAAGAAATTTCATACAGATCTTTAATTAGATACATGTATATATTAAATGTAGTCAAGACATACTAGGGATGGGTATCAACAAAAATTTCATATCGTGATATATTAAGATTTTTTCCCAAAATATCACGATAAAATCGGGATATTTTTACATGGAATTTTTACTTCATTTTCAAATGAATTCCCATAATTTTTCTTACAAATACACTGCAAAAATATAACTTTACTTTTTTCCATGTTTATTTATATAATACAAAGCATTTCTGGATGCCATAGTTTAACTTTATTCAACATTTTTTTATATTTTCTGTAATTTCTATTTCATAGTTTGAACAAATAAGCATAATAAATAAATAATTTCTGGAATTAATAATTATGTACCAAATACAGGTATTTTAGTCTCTGTATCACGATACGTATCATGCAATAAAAAATCACGATATATCGGTATACCGATAAAATCGCGCATCCCTAAGACATACTGTACCTTGGGAAGATTTTTCATGATTTTAGGAAGGCCTCTAAAGAACTCAGATTTCTGCAAGTTGTCTCGTTGAAATAAAGTATCCATAAATTGCAGAGTTACAGTTCCAACATCATCAAAGAAATCCACCTATGAAATGTCAAATCTAGGTTGATTAAAATTGACAAAAAATATATACAGTTCTACACCCAGAATTATACTGTTTGAGATTCTATCCTTCATCAGCTGACTAGGATCTGGTCTGACTGTAGGTTTTATGTTAAGGAGGAGTTTCTTACCTTCATCAACTGACTAGGATCTGGTCTGACTGTAGGTTCTATGTTAAGGAGGAGTTTCTTACCTTCATCAACTGACTAGGATCTGGTCTGACTGTAGGTTCTATGTTAAGGAGGAGTTTCTTACCTTCATCAGCTGACTAGGATCTGGTCTGACTGTAGGTTCTATGTTAAGGAGGAGTTTCTTACCTTCATCAACTGACTAGGATCTGGTCTGACTGTAGGTTCTATGTTAAGGAGGAGTTTCTTACCTTCATCAACTGACTAGGATCTGGTCTGACTGTAGGTTCTATGTTAAGGAGGAGTTTCTTACCTTCATCAACTGACTAGGATCTGGTCTGACTGTAGGTTCTATGTTAAGGAGGAGTTTCTTACCTTCATCAACTGACTAGGATCTGGTCTGACTGTAGGTTCTGTGTTAAGGAGGAGTTTCTTACCTTCATCAACTGACTAGGATCTGGTCTGACTGTAGGTTCTATGTTAAGGAGGAGTTTCTTACCTTCATCAGCTGACTAGGATCTGGTCTGACTGTAGGTTCTGTGTTAAGGAGGAGTTTCTTACCTTCATCAACTGACTAGGATCTGGTCTGACTGTAGGTTCTGTGTTAAGGAGGAGTTTCTTACCTTCATCAACTGACTAGGATCTGGTCTGACTGTAGGTTCTATGTTAAGGAGGAGTTTCTTACCTTCATCAGCTGACTAGGATCTGGTCTGACTGTAGGTTCTGTGTTAAGGAGGAGTTTCTTACCTTCATCAACTGACTAGGATCTGGTCTGAATATAGGTTCTATGTTAAGGAGGAGTTTCTTACCTTCATCAACTGACTAGGATCTGGTCTGACTGTAGGTTCTGTGTTAAGGAGGAGTTTCACATACTGTTGCAGACTGTCAGGAACACTTCCCAGAAGAGATGACCTGAATTTCCTCAGCTAAAAGGATTTTTCATTCTTTAATTACAATCCTGGAAAGCTGTTTATTAGTTTTAGAAAATGTATCTTTGTTTTCTCTTTTTTACAAAATGCAGATACATATTCTTATTCTGATTCATTTCTCCAAACATACACGTATACATATATGATGTTAATTTCATTTTGTGTCTTACACATTAAATACCTTTAACAAATAAAAATCAATCACAGCAATCTAATTTTTTTCATGATAAAATTCTCATGTGACATATTAAATAACTACCTCCTCTACAAATTTTTTGAACTGAGACAGCTGACCATGACACTCATACAGAGCTTTGCCATGGTTGTAGATACAGTAGATTAAGACCCCCAGAGAGAACATGTCACTGGCCTCACTACAGCTGTGGGTCAGGTAGTACTCTGGAGCCATGTAGTCAAGGTCAGGCTGGGTCACCGGTGGCTGATCAGGATTCCACTCATTACATGGAAATAAATTCTGAAAGACAAAATAATCCATAGAATTAATCCTTTTGTGTTAAGCAATAAAATATGTTCAAATCAAATCTGCTGTCTTACACTTTGGTCCTGTTGGTTGGCATTGGGAACACAGAAGTCAAAACCAGCCAGTTTCCATGAACCATACTTGTTTATAATAATGCTGGATGGGCACACATTGTTGTGCATTATTTTGGCATCTTTGTGAAGAAATCCCAGTCCCTCTGTCAACTGTAATGATGAGTTTAAAATAATGCCATTTTTACTATGTTAACATATAGTTCAATCCGGTCTATCTAATTTTCTGTTCTACATACCTGTAGGACACCATGCTTGATTTCTACCTCAAACAGTTTAAACTCGGCCAGTTCAGGGGGAACTGGGGTGGGTACATTTGTGTGATCTCCTAAAACATTGGCTAAACTGGCAAACACTGGTTCCGTAGCAAATGCAAGGGCCTCTCTGAAAATGCATGTATACATGACTGTGTGTAAAATACCAACACTGCTTTTACAATGAATGAGGTGTTAATCAATGGCATATGTATAGTTCAAGTGAAGTTTATTAAATTTTATTCACAATATTTTTCAATATTTCTTTAATATCTCCCTCTTCTTATATAAATGAATCTCTGATATGAAAATATCTAGAGCTAATCCACTGGGAGTAATCGTCAAGTTTATCCCTCAATTCTATATGTCAATATTACCATTACTCTACCTTGATTCCTCCAATGGGTGAAGGACAGACAAAATCTTTGGGTGCCTTAATCTCGTCAGCTGTGAAACACCTTTTTTTAACGACTCGATAACCAATTCTCTGTCTCTTTTGGAGTATTTTTCCAACTGCTTCTTCTCAAACACAAAGACTGCTGCTTCCTTTATTATAATTCAATGAAGAATAAAATTTAATATGTTTAATAACTATTACTGATATTTTTAATTTGCATTTGCATTAATTCACCTTTCGCACAAAGCTCATCATTATGATTAAAATAATACGCTATTGACTGTTAATTGATTTTTTTAAATCAGGAATTACAGAATTTGTAAGCTGCTCTTCAACTATGATACATTGAGAGATTACATATACCCAACTAGCAGACTATATTACCTTTTAGCAGATTATATTACCTGTTTGGTGGTCCTCTTAATAGCATTGTAAATCTTCCATGACAGTTCTGGCCCACCAGAGGCAATGTGGTTAGAGACATCAAAGTCTTTAGAGAGGGGATTTCCAGGAAGAGCGCTGCTGACTGCACTGCGGAGTTTGTTAAAAACATCCATTTCTCAGCTGTACCCTAAATCATATTGAAGTGTACTAAATCACAGATTTTAATGCACTGTCTGAGAAAGTTTAAAAAAGTACTCCTTTACTCCAGCATCATAGTGGCATGGAACAACATTTCAGCCGCATTTAGGAACTTGCCATTTTTACACATGCAATATAGACAATCAGCATGTCTAAGATCCTACACCATTAAACTGTCTACTTTTAACTTTTTACCCTTTTAAAGATGTTAACTGTTTGCCATGGAATTACTGGAATATTTACATATTTATATTAATAGTGAATTTACGTATTTACGGTTAATACTACCTGTCAGTCACAGAGTCAGTCACTCAGTGAGCCTGTTAATGTAATTGAGAATAACGAACCCGATAATAATAATAATAATACAGGTTTAGAAATGATACACAAACAAATAATCTCATCCTCCTTTAATTCTCTTTTTAGGTGACCTGAGTCACTAAGGTGAGCGGTTGCTGTTTTCTGTTTCATCGTCCGTTGTGTTCACATTCGAACATGAACATTGCATCCAGGCGCGCGGATCCAGGAATTTTTTCGGGGGTGGGTGGGTGGGGGGAGGGTATCCACATCAATTCTAACAGATGTTAGAATAAGAAATTTTTTGACCAAAATATAAAAAAAATATTCAACTCCCTCCGGCCTGAAAAACCTATTTCGGGGGGGGGGGGGTCTTTCAGGAGAACTGCTTTAGAAATTCTGACCCTGGGACCATGCATTTCACAATTTTGGTTAAGGACTCATTGTTCATTAACTCATTGTTATAATTATATCAAAAGTTTGACTGCTTAATTGATGTGCAGGCGCAAAGAAGATCTTTGAAAAATCGCATTAATTATTATGGTTTTGGTCCCACCCTTCGTACCTCAGGGAGCAGGGATCATAAAATTCACAATTTTAGTCCCCCTTTGCTCACAGATGTTCTATACCAAAATTGAAATTGGTTAAGCGGTTTATTAGAAGATAAAAATTATCAAAAGTTTACGCACGACGGACGACGACGGACGAAAACAGATAGCAATAGGCCACCTGAGTTACTCGGTGACCTAAAAATGCGGATGGTTTAATTGTAATCAATTTTTCCTTCATATAAGCAATGGAGTAAACCACCGGTATTTATCCCTGCCATTCTTCCAACCTTTTGCGTCGTTTATCGGGCAAAGATGATTCGCTGGTATCAAACAAGTCACAGAAAATTTTACTAATTTAAGATTTCGAGGCTTTTTTTTCTTTAAACCCTTCAACATGAGAAATTATTTTCTTGTTATATGATGCAAGATTTTTTTTTTCTTTTTTAAAAAACAGAACTTACGACAATAACACGCATTTTATACATGTAGTGCGAATTAAGTTCCGCGAGATTTTGAATTGGAAACTATCATTAATGGGAACAAAATTGACAGTTAACTATAGCTTACGACTGAAATCTATACTTAACGCAGTTTATCTGATTATTTATGGTTTCAAGATTTGTGAAACGATGATCAACAACTCTCAACTATGGTTAACGAATGTAAAATCTATTGCTAGTTAACATTTACTTACAGACAGATAAACTTAGATTAGCATTCGTAACATATAGTTTAAAACCTTAAGTATAGTCTTACCGGTGAAAACTATAGTTAACGGATCGTTTACTACCGTTTACGGTTCATAAACTATAGCTTACAATCGATAAACCTAGCTTTAGTTTATCAACTGCTAATTTTTGAATTGATACTGAATTCTTTAAGAAGCTTCTTCTCTACCCCTGTATATTTAGACGACAAACTAAGTGCATGGTTATTACCTCATTATGAACAAGGGTGCCTCTTACAACATTGTGAAATTTATGGCACCTGGGTCAGGGGTCAGGGGCCCGTTTTACAAAAGAACTTACGACTAAGACCAAAATCTTAAGTTGATTGTAAAATTTTGCAAAATTAATGATTCTGTTTGAAATTGCTAGCGTAAAAATCTCTTACGACGTTCCTTTTTAAAAGATTAAAACTATTTTCAATGAAAGGTAAATTAAAAAGTTATAAGCAGAATTAAATTTTGGTCTTAGTCGTAAGCTCTTTTGTAAAACGGGCCCCTGGTATGCAGACCATATAGTGAATATGCATTAATTCTTTGAAAATCTTCTTCACCACCCCTGCGTATTAAACAGATAAACTAAGTGCATGGTTATAATAAGCAAGTGTACCTCTTTAGTAATTGTGAAATGTATGGCCCTAGGGTCAGAGGATCTGGTGTTAGGGTGGATCTCTGTTGACCTGAGTAAAATGCATTTGATATTCTTTAAAAATATTCTCTGTCCCTGTGTATTTAGTAAACAAAGTGCATGGTTATGACGAGCAATTATGCCTCATCCAAAACTGAGGATTTCATAGTCCTTTGGTCAGGGTTTTGGTGTTAAGGAGGGGCTCTATTGATTATGTGATAAAAATACATTTATTCTTTGACACTCTTCTTCTCTTCTATCCTGGGCATCTATAGCTAGGAGGCGAAAAGAGTACAAAGTTGTTATAAGCAAGAGTGTTTTTTATCAGATTTGTGAAATTCTGGACCATGGGTCAAGTGTTCTAGTGCTGGACAGGGCTGTATTAATTTTGTAGGGAGATTGGTACTCTATTGAGAGACTTTATTTCCTTTTGCTATTTACCTATGATAACATATTATACATTTATGACACTCAATTAAATCCAAATAATGTTCAAACTTGTTAAATAAAAAGCTTAATGATCAAATATTTTATAATAAGTAATAATATCATATACTTATACAAACTTTTCCCAAGTATGCGTGAAAAGGGGAATAATAACTTTCTTCCTTAGCTTGAACAAGAGGCCCATGGGCCACCTTGCTCACCTGAGCAAATTGTCTAAGAAAAAAGCAGAAATCAGTTTAGTATTGAAAAGTTTACAGGATGGGAGAGGGGAGGGGCAAATTTACAGGATGGCAGGGGGATGGGGCAAACTTAAATTTACACTACCTATCAATTTACCAATCATAACTTTGCTGTTCTTGAGCAGAAGAATTTTAAAGATTTTTTTCTCCTATGATTCCCATGTAAAACTGATCGCTCATTGTGGCCCCTCCCTACCCACCCTCAATTTGAACAAATCTGAATCTACACTACCTGTGGATGCTTTTATAACAATATGACTAATCATGGTTTTGCTGTCCTTGAGCAGATTTTTCCAAGATATTCCTATATATTCTTATGTAAAAGGTTGACCCTCTGTTGTGCTCCCATCCCCTGGGATTCATAATAAATAAACTTGATTCTACAATACCTAAGGTATCTTATGTTGTAAATGAAATAGTCAATGTCCTATAAAACATATTTCAGTAGTGTAAAGAGGGTCCCTAAACCTTCCACTCGGTTCACTCACTTTGCTTGGGTACCAAATCTAATGTTACTTGTAAAAGGTTTACCTATACTTGTCATTCCATAACAGGGAATTCAGGAAGCTAAGGTTTCTTTTTCAATCCTGCAGGACTCTCATTAAATATGGGGCATCAGTCGCATCACACAGAGTGTAATAGAAAGAAAAAGAATTATTTTGTCTTTTAAACTACAAAGTTTATTGACACTATCACATCTTGTCTGGTTATACCACTGTTTATTAAGAATACAACAGTACGAATGTAAGTAAAAATGGTCCAAGCAACCAATTTAAAATATAGGTCCCATTGAAAAATCACAATGTATATAAAAACATTCAGTAAGATCACATTAAAAAGATTAAAAATTGACATATTATTACACGAAGAAAAAGGGGAAAATGGTTTCACACCAAAGTAAAACATAAAAGTTATGTTTACGATTGCATTTCTCACTTAACTTCAAAATACATGGATAAATTAAACAGGACAATCTGATGTTTAAAGTACAGAAAAACAGTTTACAACCAGAATCTACACAATCCAGCACCTCAAATGTCATCGTTTTTATCTAAAAGTTTAAGTACTTGATGAACATATTAATATAGACGACATATTTACCATGAATTGAAATATTTGATTTAGCTCAGAGACAACAGAATATTTAAGATCGTATGAATGAGAATATACTGTCAAATATGAATGTCAAGCTTCCCATTCTCTATCTCAATTATAGCTCAGTAATTGATTCTCCTATGCAGTTCTCTTAAACATACAATTTTTTTAAAATACCTTGTGGGGTGAAAGGTATGGGGTTGTCTTTGTATAAAAGTTGATGGAAGTTTAGAAAAGGGAAGTGCTTGACCTAATACAACACAAAAATCACAATACAGTTATATCACAAAAACCATTAAGTAAAAAGACTTGGTTTCAAAAAATGACTATCAGTGTCCATGTATTATGTTGTAAATAAGACACAAATATGACATATAATTCTAGATGAACAACACAGACAAATCTGATATAAATGAGTAAGTACATGTCCTTTAAATGCACTGGTTAATATGGCATGAATTCTGGAGTGTAAAATATTGGCATGTTTTATGGAAAACTTCTTGATTTTCCCAAAATAAGACATGAATCTGAGCTAACATGTAAGATAACATTGCCTTCCTCTGTAACACTGCCAACAGTCAGAACAAGTTTGTAAGTGAAGTTTACAAACACAGAAGTTGTAAAATTATTTGTTTATCCTCCAAGGCATTTGTTGGTTTTGGCACTATGGCCTACACCTATGCTAGATGTATAGTTGTATACGTATGTGTATTTAAAGACTAGAGAAATTTATAAATACATGTATGTACATCTAAAGAGATCATGATTAAGATCATCAAGGCAATGGATTTCCAAATAAATATTAGAACTTAAATGGCACCTCTTCCTCTCCCATACAACATAATGGTGTTGAACAACTTACAATTTATGTAGAAAATTTCTGTATAATCATTCAACAAAAAAAAACAAAAACAAAATACTGCATACTGTAACACTAACTCTGGATAAATAAATATTCTGTCAATAGAGTAGAAAGTCAGATCTTACTCATGCAAAATCATTATACTTGAGCCACTCTTATACACAGCACAAACTGTGGACAAGTTCAAAGACTAATTCTGTGCCTAATACTTTTATTCAACATATAAATGTACTGTTAAGAAACTGAAATGAATGTCAACTCAAACCAGTCCCAAGTTTGAGCAATATTCATTATACTTCAGCACCACAGGGTGAAAATTATTAATTTGCTAAACATAAATGTCTTAAAGTTGAATTTTCTGAAACCCTGTTGTTTGAACATGTAGATGCTTGTGCATGTTAAACACACTTAAAGGTAAGCAACAACATAAACCATAATAATAAACATAAAGGACTCAGCCAGCAAAACAGTTATTGGAAATAACTTTCACTATCATGCAGACTAACATAATAAATTCAGGAACAGGTATGGAGATAGGCCAAACAATTGACATCAATCAACCATTATAATATAAAAAGACAGAGATTAACCTTAATTTGTCTGTAAAAGCTACAACGTAAAATAAAATACTGATTCTTGAAATTTAAATCAGAAAAAAAAATGAAAGCACTAAAACATGAGACACATCTCCATTTAATACAGATCTATATCTTAGAAAGATTAAATAAAAAACATAACTGTGAAACTTAACATACAGCACCAAAGTCTATTTCTAAATTGTTTCTAACTCATGGTCATTGTAGATTTGTAAAAAGTACCCTTTGTAGAAACCGGGACTTAAAAAAATAATAAAAGTATATTAAAATAACACGTCAAAGACAAAAAAATGTAATTATAAAAGTCTGGTATGACCAGTGTGCTACGACTTTTTCATTGTCATTCAATAATTATTAAAAGTGAAATCTTCTAGAGATCATACTCATATTATTATCATGACTTCAAATATATAATATGTAAAATCATTACTGTAAACCAAAAATAATGGACAATATCTGTCACAGGTAGTTTACAAAACAAAAAGTATCTCTCCACTCTGAAATTAAACTTGATCCAGTAAATATACATGTAATATGTAATACTGACTACAATGGATGACTTGAATTCTTAAAATCCTTAAAGTCATTGCAACATCACAAAAACACTGAAACCATTCTCACAAAATGAAAACAAATCAAAACATAATAAAGTGTAATTACATGAATGTGTATACAAATATTGGTATCAATTCAGTAACATTTACAAAGAAGAAATAAAAATGACAACAAATACTGACTCCTACATACATGTACATATAATAAAAATAGATGTACAATAAAATTCCCACTATTTCCACCTCTCACAGCCCTCATTCTTTGGTTATAAATCATTACACTACTGAGTTTTCTCTCTGATGATGTTGTTTGAAGCATGGCTTTAGTGGAAGTGGTCTTTTATACAAGTCTTTGAAGGGAGCAGAACTTGTAATGGATCAGCGGAAATTTCTGAAACCCCATCATGATCCTGAACTTGTTTTTTGAGTTGGCGAGTTGTACAAAATATCCATTGTGTGTTTCTTGCGAACAATTTTTACACCCCCTGGAACACTCTCTGTAAGTCCATTTTTAAATGACAATTGCACTTCTGATTTTCCAAACCGGGCTTTCAACCTGAAGCAAAGCAGAGAAAATTTCACCTCTTTGAAAAAAGGAGTACTTCAAAAGGGTGCAATTGATTTTATACACCAGTTACAATTCACTTCATTGTTAGGAATCATCATTACTTTGACTTAATTTCAATTTTGAGCTTGACAAAGTGTCTTTTACTTACAAGGGAGCTATATGAAGCTCGGGTAATTTCTCTGTCAGATTTTTGATGAGCAGGCAGACTTTGGACACAAGTTCAATAGTATGCTCACATAAAAATACAAAGTCACCTTTCTTGGACAATCCGTCTCCATTTTCATGCTGAAACAGATACGAAAATTTATAATAAACAAACACTATATCGAAAAAAAAAAAACCTGAATGATTTTGTGAAAAAATATGTCTAACTTCTACTCTGACCATTGAGAATCATTCTTTAAGTAGTAACACTACTATAAATACCAAACTAATTCTATTCAGGAACCTAGTACATGAACATCTGTACATTGGTAAATTAACTTGTGGAGTTTTAATATTCACTATATTCACGGAAATAAAAATTCCACAAATTCAACATACAGTAAGCAATTCTTTGAAAACTGATAAGGATAAATTGAAAATATTACTGCTTTTACCAGAGATATAGACTGTCTTTCTAATTATGCTGGTGTATGGATCAATTACTATCACATAGCTGTTGGTGTTTTAAAAGCTTAATTAATTGATAAATAAACTTCTATAATTTAATTCTGCCACCCAGTAGAGGTGCAAAGTAATTAGCTATAAAACATGCACTGTTAAATTTCATCTGTGTGTATCACTCTGTCTTATTACATGTACCTTTAATCTTTGAATGATTTATATAAATGGTCAAAATATCACAGCTTTACAGTCATTTTTGTAAAATAAACATCATAAGAGTACACTGTGATCTTGTGTTCGTTGGACAGGCATCTCTATAAATCTCTATAAATCAGACTGTGAGTCCCAGTTTATAATAACTACCTACCCTCTGTATATGGAACACAATGGTATTGTCAGGGTGCGGACTGACGGACATGGCGGAGATGTCGGTGATTGGGATCCGATACTTCATCATCATACTATGGTGCTCAATCAGAATCAAGTTCTGAGAACTTATCACTAACAGCCGTTCCACTGACTGAAATCAAAAATATTGATATATGTACAGTATTTTATGTTATATCTAATAAGAGAAGAAAATACTCAAGAAGTTCTTTTTCCATAACAATGTTATACATGAAAAAAAAACAGATGTCAACTTTTATTTTGTTAAAATAATGATCCACAATGAAGTTTGTGACAAAACGTTCAGGACAGAAGAATCAATTTCTTTGAACTTATAACCTTTAGCCTCCCAACCAAAATTCCATTCAATTAATATTATTTGAAAACTCAGGAAGTACCACTAGTACATGTATTTTTCATATGCATGTATGTGAATGATAATATATATAAATTATCCAAATATCGCTTTCTGTTCAGTGAATGTCGATCAAAAAAAGTCGCACATAAAAATTTTGGATGAAGGATCTCCAGACAAATTCATAAACTCCAAGCCAATCCTGCTGGCTACACATAATTCGTAATTAAATGTGACAATGTTTGCATGTCAACCCCCCCCCTCGTGCACTTACTTTTCCATTAGCTCGATGAACTTTTTGCACAACATCTGCAAACACAATATGATTGTCTTCAGGGTTTTGTCGTTGTAATTTCTTCCATTTTTCATTAGCCAGGATATTCTGATAATCTCCCTTGAAAGGTTTGGGCACACTGAAATAGAGAACTGTAACTTCACCCTTCTTGATTTCTCTGGCAATTTCAAGCAAAGAAATTGTTTTTGTATAATTACATTTACTATGAATCCAGAAGTATTTAGCTTCAATGTTGATTGTTTTTTTGTACAATCATGTAACAAACGCACGAATATTTGATCACACCTATTTTCTTTAATCTAACATCCTCATATATTTTTCACACAAGTACCGGTGTCATATAATATATTGAACCCCGCGATATTTTAAACCCGGGTTCAAAATATTGCTGCGAAATATTGAACCCCCCTATAAAATATTGATCCTGGGGTTCAAAATATTATGGCCATAATATTTTGAACCTGGGGTTCAAAATATTATAGCCTTAGGGCCATAATATTTTGAACCCGAGGTTCAATATATTATGGCCATAGGGCCATAATTTTTTGAACCCAGGGTTCAATATATTATGGCCTTGTGGCCATAATATTTTGAACCCCGGGTTCATTAAATTATAGCATTATGGCCATAATATTTTGAACCCCCATTACAGACATTCTCTGTTTCAAGCATAGGGGTTCCTGAGATTATGGCGTTGAAATGTTGTACCTCCTAATTTTAATTTTTTTTTTGGTAGGTTGGGGTGGAGGTTTAAGCTAGAATTTATGGCTGTAAAATGTTGTACCCCCTATTAGACATATATGTGTATAGGAGGGTGTTTAAAAATTATTGACTTAAAATAATTTTTGAATGGTAAGAGGGGATTCAAGATATTATGGCAGTGAAATCTTCAACCCCACCACATTTTATAAGGGGTTGAAAATATTGTGGATGTGAAGTATTGAACCTCCATTTAAAGACTACTATGGAAAAGGAAGTGAAAGTATTTAACACCCGTCTCCCACACACTCACCTTGATTTAATTGTTAGATCTTGAGGGTTGGGTATCTCTATATTAAAATTATTTTTTTTCTAATAACTGTGCAATACCTAAAGAAGTGAGAGTAAAATAATATAGCCAAAATATTGAAGTCTGAAATTGTCACCAGGAAATTAAAAATAATTGTCTTTTATCATCAAACCCCAAATATTCTACATCAAATAACTAAAATAACTTGATATGTCTGATGGAAAAACAATTATGAGATATTTATTTCTATGTCTTTTATCCCATCCCAAAAGGTATTTATTTATTTTCTTTAATTTTATTATTTTTGTATAATTTACAATTTGAAAAAAGAAAATTCAAGGAGCAATGTAGTATCTCTCCATTGAGGAGGTAACAGGGATATAGTACCTGTGTATTATGTGTACACAAGGAGGTGTCATTGGAGGTCAGCAATACCCACTGTCTATTGTTTCCCTTTGATGGTTTCTGTATTATCACTATACAGTGTTTAGAGAGTGTACAAATTGAGTAGTCCCTCATAAATTAAAAGGGTAGGGGACTCAATATTTTATGGTCATAATATCTTGACACCCCCCCCCCCCCCCATTAAATTGAAAGGGTAGGGGACTCAATATTTTATGGTCATAATATCTTGAATCCCCTCCATCTTAAATTGAAAGGCTAGGGGGACTCAATATTTTATGGTCATAATATCTTGAACCCCCTCCCTCTTAAATCTAAGGGGTAGGGGACTCAATATTTTATGGTCATAATATCTTGAACCTCCTCTCTCTTAAATTAAAAGGGTAGGGGGACTCAATATTTTATGGTCATAATATCTTGAACCCCCTCCCTCTCAAATTAAAAGGGTAGGGGGACTCAATATTTTAAGGTCATAATATTTTGAACCCCCCTCCCTCTTAAATTGAAAGGGTAGGGGACTCAATATTTTATGGTCACAATATTTTGAACCCCCTCCCACTTAAATTATAAGGGTAGGGGGACTCAATATTTTATGGTCATAATATCTTGAACCCCCTCCCTTTTAGATTAAAAGGGTAGGGGGACTCGATATTTTATGGTCATAATATCTTGAACCCCCTCCCTCTAAAATTGAAAGAGTAAGGGACTCGATATTTTATGGTCATAATATCTTGAACCCCCTCCCTCTTAAAATGAAAGGGTAGGGGACTCAATAATTTATGGTCATAATATCTTGAACCCCCCTCCATCTTAAATTGAAAGGGTAGGGGACTCAATATTTTATGGTCATAATATCTTGCACCCCCCCTCCCTCTTAAATTGAAAGGCTAGGGGACTCAATATTTTATGGTCATAATATCTTGAACCCCCTCCCTCTTAAATTAAAAGGGTAGGGGACTCAATATTTTATGGTCATAATATCTTGAACCCCCCTCCCTCTTAAATTATAAGGGTAGGGGGACTCGATATTTTATGGTCATAATATCTTGAACCCCCTCCCTCTTAAAATGAAAGGGTAGGGGACTCAATATTTTATGGTCATAATATCTTGAACCCCCTCCCTCTTAAAATGAAAGGGTAGGGGACTCAATATTTTATGGTCATAATATCTTGAACCCCCTCCCTCTTAAAATAAAAGGGTAGGGGACTCAATATTTTATGGTCATAATATCTTGAACCCCCTCCCTCTTAAATTAAAAGGGTAGGGGACTCAATATTTTATGGTCATAATATCTTGAACCCACCGGGTTCAATATTTTATAAGGGGGTTCATTATATCGCAGCAAAAAATGAACCCGGGTTCAAAATATTATGCGATATATTGAACCCGGGTTCAATATATCGTGGTATCAAAATATTATGCTACACCAGTAATAATATGTGTATTTCCAAGATCTCTTAACCTCTTTTCAAAGAAATCTTCAATATACTGTATAGAAGTAATTTCGTCTTCTTCAATATATACGACCAGTAATTACAGGTAAACTTCGTTATCTCAACATCGACGGGACCATCGGAAAATGTCGAGATATCCGAGGTGTTGAGATATCAGAGTTGAGACTTGACGTCCAAGATTTCATTGCATAGCAAAACAGACAAGCTTATTATATGTACATGACTTTAATATAGACTGTAGCTCAACATATTTCAGAATTCCCTCCATTTTTATTAAAAATCTAAGAAGTTATTTTAAAACTCTTGTTCATAAAACACGTTCTTTATCGAAATCTTTCTAAATTCACAAAGTTTCAGCACAAAGTTACAGCATTGAGCTCCATTCGCGTGTAACTTGCATTTTCGTCAGAACAGGATATGAAATGCGCTCTATAAACTTCGAACCGTATAAAGTCGACATCTGATATACAGTAAAAAAAAAATTAAATGCGGATTTTTTTTTTCTTATTTCATTCAGGAAGAATGTACATCAAAATTTTTTTTTTTAAAGAGATTTGTGTATCTAAACTAACGTAGTGAAGTTACAGATGCACGAATTACGGCTGATTCGGTCAATCGTGTCGTTAATTGGATTGTTTCCTGTTGAATACAATTTAACTACAAAATATCATTAAAACATTTTTTTAATTCCTTAGTTTGAATTTTTCAATGTGTTTGTTTTTCATTGTAATTTAGTTATCTTTTTCAAATTTAAAAGTTATGTTACATTTCGATATAAATAACATTCTGTACATTTACGTAGAATCGTGTAGATTTAGCAATGATATTACCCAAGCTCAATTAAGTTCTCAAAGACGCCGAAGGGGCTTGGGATTCACCTACAAACACAGTCTACAGAATTAATTAAGCTGCGTGCAGTCAAAACATGGGTGTGAAAGGTGTGAAACTTTGACGACGTCGAGATACCCGGAGTCGTCTGTGCGTGACGAGCGACCCTATCTGACAAACAGTTAGGTTCAGTAGAGCAGAAAATTGCCGATGTCGACATATGCCAGGTAAATTTTGCTATTGGGACTGTGAATATACGTCGAGATAACCCGGGTTGTTGACATTACCAAGGTCGACATATCAGAGTTTTTGCAAATCATTTATATAGTAAATACTGCCGGGACCGCGGAAGAATGTCGACATATCCCAGGTTGTCGACATATCCGATGTCGAGATACCGAAGTTTACCTGTATATAGTCTTCTTAATATATAGGACCAATAATTATTTAGCCTTCTTCAATATACCAACCAGTGGTTATTTAGTCTTCTTCAATATATCTGACCAGTATTTATTTAGTCTTCTTCAATATTTATGACTAGCAGTTATTTAGTCTTCTTTAATATATATGACCAGAAGTTATTAAGTATTCTTCAACATATATGACCAGCAGTTATTTAGTCTTCTTTAATATATACAACCAACTTCTTCAATATATATGATCTGTAGTTATTTAGTCTTCTTCATTATATATGTCCAGTAGTTATTTAGTCTTCTTCAATATATTTGACAAGTAGTTATTTAGTCTTTTACAAGATACACATGTATGACCAGTAATTTTTTAATACTCTTACGTTTTTGAATAACCCTCCTTTTTGTCCTTGAAAAGTTCACTGGCCATCAATTTCTCCTTCATTTTATATTTCTCTGCCTCATTGAATTTTCTTCTGTACTTTCGACACTGAAAACAAATTGAAAAATGTAGTACATTGTATAATCATTTGCAATTTCTAATTAATATGAAAATTAATATTAAGTACATATATTTTATTATGTATAGTTATATTTATTTAAATGTATACTTTTTGATACCAAGTAATTTTAGCAAACTTATGGCAAAAACAAAATAATCCAACTCCCTACATGTAGTCAAATGAAGGGAACTGCAAAAAAATATTCAATGCCATCTTGGTAGAATCAAGTTGCAAAACATAAAACTCCAGAGAAAGGCAAAAATGGCTTACTCTCCAGGCATGGTACATTTCTCTAAGCTGATCTGATGCTGCCTTAAATCTTTTTGGATAGTCTGGCCACTCTTTGTCAATAGGAGATAAACTCGGCAACTTGCCTTTCAAATCAAGAAGGAATTTCTTTCGCTAAAGAGAGATTTAATATATACTACAACTAAGAAATGAGTTTAAGCATTAATAAAAGAATATATGAACATATCCTAAACATTCAAATTAATACATTTGTAATAGAATACATGTACATATACCGTAAACATTCCAAACTTAAGACACATACCAGGGCTATAACAAAGAATCTTGCAATCTTTGGACCAGCAATCCGACGGAACCTTGGTTGGTATTCTTTCCTTACTTTATATCCCATGTAGAATTTCTGGATCATAATAGCTGATTCTATCTCAAGCTTCTCCCGTTTCAACTTCCTGAGCAAAGCTCTTGCCTGAAGAAATGAAATTTCTGTGAATTTTTAAAATTTTACAAGCCAATAGCTATTTACCAGAGCGAAAGAAAGAGAGATAGAGACAGAGATATCTGTAACTTAAATTATGTAGAACTCTTCAGTTTAGAAGTTAGTTTTGTTTAAGAAAAAATGGTGGCACCATTTGATTATGAACTTGCATTTTTAGTAACTAAAACATATGAAAGCTAAAACAAACAAATCATGGAGACAATTAAACAGTGTGCAAATACAGTTGTTACAATCTGTGAGTGAAAGCACTGGGAATGTCAATTATCAGTAATTATAATTCAAACTAAAAGAAAGACAACTGAGTGCTGATCCATTGCTGGTTGCTGTCTTGAGATTTTATGATGAGGCCAGTACATGTATTAAAAGGGTTCAGGAGGAAACAAATCTGCTGTAATAGTGGTATATCAATATTATACTGATATTGCTGTAGAGTTAATTAAATAACATGCTGTTTAAGGTGCAAGCTAGTCACTGTGGGTATAAAAATGAAGAATAATTAGCATGCTAACATATGTTATGAATTTTAGGAAATTTTCTGCCCATTCATTTAATAATGCAAACATGCTTTTTTTTTTAAAAAATGGAATACACATTTTCAAAATAGCAACTGGTGACTGCTGTAATGTTTAAGCATGATTGAATCTCACTTCCTCTCAGATATAAGCAAAATTGTTGCTTGTAATATCTTTCAACAATTGCTGCAAAAGTGTTATTGAATTTACAAAGTAAAAGAATATTTTCTGTCTGCATGGTTGCAGACACTCGCTGCACTTGTGAAAACCCCAGATTTTAATGAAAAATGTAGCAATAAATTTGAAAAGGTGGACTGGTACACCTGCAGATGAATTTTGGCAATAATAGATGAGGCATGTGATACGATCAATTAAATCTGCCAGTGGATTGATAAACATAAAAACGATTGTAACCCTTCACAAACTTAAGACAAATTTGGCAACAAGAAAAATGCTAGTTGAAAGAGATAGAAAGCAACAGAGTATGGGATTTGGAATGAGGATTGTTGACTTGGAATCTCATACAGCTTGACAGCAAGTTAAAATGGGATGACATACATGTACACATATCTACTATTACTTGGAGGCAGTTAGTCTATAAGAGGGTTGATAACTGTTTGAAGAAATAATCAGTCAACTGTTACCAGTAACTCACAGACACTTGACATTTGGAATATTTTTCTATTGATGAAAATTTTCCATATGGAAATTTTTTTATCAATAAAAAAAAATATTTCAATTGTCAAGTGCCTATGCAGTAACTCATCAAAAGTGTTTTTATTACTCTCTTAAAGAACCTATTGATAGAAGACTTCTCAGGATTGAAGCTATAAATGAAACTAAATACAATGACAAGATGATGGAAGTTAAAGGGTGTTTGTAAGGAACCAACTATCTAACTGTAGAACAAAAACAGGTGCATCTAGTCTGTAAAGCAGAATTGTTGGAAATAATACAACATGGATAATTACATAAACACTGAATGTTTTTTTAAACCATGAATCATTGAAGTTTTTCTGTTAATATATTTGTAGGGGATAAAACACTTTTAAATCTTAATCAATTATAAACCAATAAATGTAATTACTTAATTTTCTTCAGGTATAAATGCAATAAAACTTAAACTTTTGATATGAAACAAGAAAAAAGAATTGCATAAAGAGTGTCAATCTAATTGGTTCTAAGTATGATAATTCTTATATTATTTTGTAGAACTCTTCAGTCTGGGAGTTAGTTTTTGTTAGAATTAGTGGTGACAACATGTGCATATATATTTGGTGTTCAAGACTATATATAAGAATCTGGATATATTTGGCCCAGCAATCCCACGGGCTAGTATTCCTTCCTTACTTTGTAACCCAAGTAGAATTTCCTGATCACATTAGCCGATTCTATCTCAAGCTTCTCTCGTTTCAATTTCCTGAGCAAAGCTCTTGCCTGAAGAAATAATGATACTCCATAAATTCTGTTCTTATGTATTCCATAATTACTTCAGTGAAGTTTAAAAGGTATGTGTTACGTCCTTCCTATATTTAAAGGTTCATGATGAGTTATCCTATAACTATTCTGTTCTGTTTACATACCTTCCAACCTCTGGCAAAACATTGCAACACAAGGGTAGCTTGTTTCGTCCTTTTGTACATTTTCTGTCCCTAAAATGATTGAGAAGAGGTTTTGTTATAGTGTATTTTTAGAAAAAGCACATTTCAGTTTTAAATGATGGGGAAAAAAATGATCAAGTTTTTCAAAATTTCTTATGTTGTAAAAACAGCTACAAGCATGTATTGATATATGGAATAAATGCACAAGTAATGAAAAAGTTAAGCAAATCTTAATGACAAGTATAATTAAAGATATTCCATGATTCAATTATTATAACTGTTGTTAAAAAACTTATTCAAGGAAAAAGACCACTTATTTTTCACAACAGACTGTGCAAGAAATAATTTACAAATGGGTATTCTTTGGAACAATAGCAATCATGTTTGGGGGACATGGCTGCATTCTTTGCAACTTTTCTCCTTGCTGATATTACCCAGCATTCTTTGTTTACATACCCAGTATCCTCTAAAATGAGTGCTGACATTACCAAGCATTCTTTGTTTTCTTACCCAGTATCCTCTAAAGCAAGGACTGATATTACCCAGCATTCTTTGTTTACATACCCAGTATCCTCTAAAGCAAGGACTGATATTACCCAGCATTCTTTGTTTCCTTACCCAGTATCCTCTAAAGCAAGAACTGATATTACCCAGCATTCTTTGTTTCCTTACCCAGTATCCTCTAAAGCAAGGACTGATATTACCCAGAATTCTTTGCTTCCTTACCCAGTATCCTTTAAAGCGAGGACTGATAATACCCAGCATTCTTTGTTTACTTACCCAGTATTCTCTAATGTGAGGTCTGATATTACCCAGCATTCCTTGTTTACTTACCAATCTCCTCTGAAGTGAGTGCTGATATTACCCAGCATTCTTGTTTTCTTACCCAGTAGCCTCTGAATTGAGGGCTGATATAACCCAACATCCCTTGTTTACTTTAACAGTATCTTCTGAAATAGCGCTGATATTACCGAGCATTCCTTGTTTACTTACCCAGTCTCCTCTGAAGTAGCACTGATATTACCTAGCATTCTTTGTTTACTTACCCAGTATCCTCTGAAGTAGCACTGATATTACCCAGCATTCTTTGTTTACTTACCCAGTATCCTCTGAAGCGAGCACTGATGATGACCTGGCTTCTCTTCATCAGTAGATACAGAGTTCTCTGTCTCCAGCCCTTGAACACACACTGAATCTTTGTCGCCAAAACATGCATGTGCTGTCTGCGTTTTTCCTCCATGTCAAACAACTAAAATTACAGTCAATCGTACAGGTTGTTTGTCTACATGAATATTCTCAAACTAACTTGCCAGCTGCCAAGAAAAAGCATTTTACTGTGATTTCAATATGTCTGTCAAATCTAGACACAAAAAACTAACATAAGGTTTTTTCCTTTTTTTCTGGATGTTAAACTTACTGTTTTGGGATTCCTAATAAATAATTTTGTTTTGCCAAATGCATATTCATCCTCTGGAACCCCCTGAGCTTCCAGAAGAATTCTGACCCCTTCCTGGGGTTTCCCAGCCCACCTTGGCCAGGTAGGACCTGCCAACATTTTGTAACGATACAAAAACTGAAGATAGATCTGTCTGAAGGCATAGCCAGCTCGCTTCACTCGCACATTCTCCATCAGACTGTAATGAAAACATCGTAATCACAGATTACCTTGCTCAATTTGACAAATGTTACCTGCAAGGGAGACAGTCACAACAAATGAATGTTTGACAAGAAATATTAGTTCATTTTTAATTACAGTGTTTAAGAGACACAACTTATGATCTAGAAAATGTAGGTCAGATACAGCATCAAAATAAGAAGGCAGAATAAATGCAGTACCATGTAATTTTAGTTTACATATACTTATATTATTGCAGATGTCAATAATATAAAATGATGATTTCATTGATATGGTCAATAAGATACACTGTTTGATGTTGCATAATGACCTTACCCCAAATATCTCACTTGATGTCTAACCAAACCCTCATCAAAGTTGTTGGCTGCTTTTGAATTGTTCGGCTGAAAATTAGATACAATTGAATTTGATGAAATGAGATACAAAGTATACAGCACTTGATAAAATATATGTTGGTGTATTTAACACTTGATAAAATAAATGTTACAGTGGATTGTAGTGTTTTATGTTTTAATTCAATAATTTTAAAAAGTTCTCAATTTTGGTGGGGTCTAATTTCCGTGGTTTTCAGGGAAAAATTGCTTGTTCATGGGGATTTGATTTTGTGTTTGAAGAAGTAATGAGCTGTGATACATTGGAAATCAACATTTAGTGGAGGACATTAATCTGTGAGTGTTTTCATACCACAAAAACGATGAAAATTAACCCACCCGGGAGTGACCCCCACTGATCCCTCAAGAAATTAGTGATTTCACAGTAGTGCTATAATCTAAATCACTTATTCCTTTGTTATAATTACTTTCACTTTTAATTAATTATTATATTGAATAACAAAATAAAAACATACTTTAATGCACCTAATGTAGTTTGGATTCTTTGATGACAAATTCTTCATGAGTTCTGTCACAGATATCTGTAAGTACAAACCAAAACAAAAGACATGACAAAACTATCTAATTCTCATCACCTCTCCATTAACCTGTGTCCTGTCAGACACGAGTGTCATACATGATATAACCTTACTTCAATTTCACTAAATCACTAGGTTTGACTGTAAACATGATATAGCCTTAATTCAATTTCACTCAAGCACTAAGTTTGACTGTAAACATGATAGAGCCTTAATTCAATTTCACTCAATCACTAAGTTTGACTGTAAACATGATAGAGCCTTAATTCAATTTCACTCAATCACTAGGTTTGACTGTAAACATGATATAGCTTTAATTCAATTTCACTCAATCACTAGGTTTGACTGTAAACATGATATAGCCTTAATTCAATTTCACTCAATCACTAGGTTTGACTGTAAATGCAAACAACAAGGTAAAATAAAGAACATAATCATGGTTTTCCATTTATACAACTGTTACTTTAAATTGTGAACCCACTTTAGCTATTTTTTACGTACATGATCAGATAAATTGTTATCTTAAACTGTGAGCCTGCTGTAGCTATTTTTTTTTATACGTACATGATCAGATAAATTTTTACAATAAATTGTGAGCCCACTTTAGCTATTATAAATTGTCACCTTAAATTGTGAGCCTGCTGTTGCTGGCCTTTTCAAGGACTTCTGAGATGGATTTCCTGTAAAAATAAACACTTGATTCTTAAACAATGATGAATTCTCAAGTTGACCTTACAAAAAGATATATTATAAAACTTAATATTCTGCTTGCTTCTACACTGTGGTTATCTGGATATTGTAGATCATGTTCTTGAGAAGAAAATTATACTTTTCTTCATGTAAAACATTGGCCCCTTATTGTGGTCTCATCAAGGCTCTGAGAATATAAGTTCTATACTACTTGATAAATATATATTAACAGTAACTTATTCAAAGAGTTGTATCACATCTCATTGATGGGCCAAAAAGTATCATTCAGGAAAAAAGTGTTATACTGAAAGATTTTTCCAACACATGTATATTCTTTACACTAGTCAAATACTGTAGTTTCCTTATTTTTTGAGAGTACTTATCATCGTGAAATGGCTCTTTAACATTAAATCGCGAGAACAAGAATTCGTGAGTGGATGGTTGATCAAGGGATTTTGCATGGATTTTAGCACCATAAAAATAAAAGCGAGTAATTTTATTTTGCGAGTGGTGTTTCTCGTGAAATTACGTGATAATTAATTCTTCCTGTATATTTAGGAATCTATAGCAATCCTTCACAATGAACTTTCTTCCCTTCCTCCCCCTCAAAAATTAAGGGGATGCTTTATAGGGGATTAATTTCACGGGTTGTAATTTTCACGTTTTTCTCTTCTGACACGATCGCGGTTTGTTGAATTCGCGGAATTATATAATATTTCATATTTTATATAACAAAAGTTACCTCCCTTGTCTATATCCGTTTAATCCATAGCATAGATAGAATGATATTAATCAGTGTTATGTATTTAGTTCACGAACAACAGGATAGATTTATATTAAATAGTTAAATTTAATAATTAATTGATGATTAAATAAAACAAGTGCAGTGATTAAAAGTCCCTGACTATAAACATTGAATGACTTTCCTATATGCTATTATGATGAGTGCATACATACACCCCAAGATCTTCTTTCTGTAGGGATATCACATCGCAGTGAAAAAACACTGGACGGTAATAAATGTGTTATTGTAGGTCGACGAAATAATATCCTTCCACATCTTCAGTAAGATCGATAGTTATTTAAATGATTTTTTTTAACCAAAATGTCCATAACAAGAGGCCGAAGGGCCTTGAATCGCTCTTCTGATAAACTGTAAAACCTATCACTTCTATTTGATGATTCTAATCCAAATAGTACCCCAAAAATATTAAATACAGCCAAAAAATTTCAAAAGTAGGTCAGGGTGACCTACTTTTCAGTTGTCGTACTCCAAGGACCAAGAATGCATCAACTGACAAAGTTTGATGATTCTAAGCCAATTAGTTCCTGAAATATTTAATTAAAGCCATAAATTTTCAAAAGTAGGTCAGGGTGACCTACTTTTCAGTCGACTTACTCCGAAGACCCAAGATGCATCAACTGACAAAGTTTGATGATTCTAAGCCGATTAGTACCTGAAATATTTAATTATAGTCATATAAATTGAAAAGTAGGTCACGGTGACCTACTTTTCAGTCGATTTACTGCGAGGACCCAAGATGCATCAACTGACAAAGTTTGATGATTCTTAGCCAAATAGTACCCGCAAATATTAAATACAGCCATCAAATTTCAAAAGTAGGTCAGGGTGACCTACTTTTCAGTTGGCGTACTCCAAGGACCCAAGATGCATCAACTGACAAAGTTTGATGATTCTAAGCAAATTGGTTCCTGAAATATACAGTGCAGGGAACTAATTTTGTTACATAAACCAGCATCAGCATAAGCATTAGTAGCATCAGGATCGAGCTAGCATCAGCTTCAGCATTTAAAAAACAGCATTACCAGGATCAACATCAGCAAGCAAAGGATAAAACCAGCATTGACCTACATAAAATCAGCATTATCCTACTAGCATCAGAAAATCAATGAGTTTTAATTCAGTAAAAAATTAAAAAAGAAAGAAAGAATATTGGTTAAAGTATTCACATTATTGATACATAGTGAGATATTATGATCAAATAATTGTAAAAGGCACTTTTATTGCTCTAAACGGCAATGCTGAAATTCATTATCTATTTCCGGTAGCATGATGCTACTTCCGGTAGCATTGACTTAATTATAAAACAGCATCAGGATAAGGATTACTAGCATTAATCAGCAAGCAAAGGAAGCATTCAAATCAGCAAGCAAAGGAAGCATTCAAATCAGCATCGATGCTGTAACAAAATTAGTTTCCTGCACTGTATAATTAAAGCCATAAATTTTCAAAAGTAGGTCATGGTGACCTACTTTTTAGTCGACTTACTCCGAAGACCCAAGATGCATCAACCACTGACAAAGTTTGATGATTCTAAGCCAATTCGTACCTGAAATATTTAACTAGAACTGTCCAAAAGGGACAAATACCCCCCACTGGGTTTTTCAGAGAAGGTACCAAATCACTAATGTTTTCTAGATGTGAGAGGTGTTCACAATTTGCTTAAAAATTCAGAGTGAAAATTTAATTACTCATTATATTTTTTTAATGAATGAAACTAAGGTGCAGCCTAATAAAACATCAATACTAATAATTACAATGTTTATTATTACATTGAAAAAATAGTTTGCAACTATCTGTCATCTTTGTGAGACATGACACTCTGCAAATTGCAAAAAAATATCATAATTAATTACACAAAATCAAATTGATCTTAATAAAGCAAACTCACTTTAAAAATAAAAGGCTGGTTCCAGTAACTATGTATTTTGACAGACATAAATTACAATTAAGAGACTTAAACAAAGAGATCTTTATTTCTTTCTGTCCAATTCCCAGGAGATATAGATAAGACCTGCTTGATCAGAGATGCCCTAAAAGCTTCCCACACTGAACTCATTAATTAATCTTTAACTGGATGCATGTCCACTCATTACTCCCAAGGGACAAATGGATTTACAATATCTGCTGTGTAATGTAAAAACTGTTTTTAATACTTTGTGATTTTTTTCAGTTCTAATGAGTAGTTTTAAGCTATATTAGTTCACATTTTTGTACAGATGTTCTAGATTCTATGTCTCAAATCTTAGACATGAACCCAAAATGACTAAGTCAATAAAAATGAAAAAAAAAAAAACACCTGTAAAATGCAGAAAAATTATCAAATAATGTTGAAAATACCAGGTGCACATCTTCATATGGTAAATAATAAGTGTACAAATTTTCATACAAATCTATGCAATAGTCTCTGGGAACAGATCCTGACAAAACCACATAACAAAAATGAAAAAACACCTGTAAAATGCAAAAAAAATTATCCAATCATGATGAAAATACCAGGTGCACACCTTCATATGGCGAATAATAAGTGTACAAATTTTCAGACAAATCCTTGCAACAGTTTCCAAGAAATGGTTCGGACAACATCTCGTCTACAGACAGACGGACAGACATGCTGATTCCAATATACCCCCTCTAAACTTCATTTGCGGGGGGTATAAATTATAGTCATTTAAATTGAAAAGTAGGTCACAGTGACCTACTTTTCAGTTGACCTACTGCGATGACCCAAGATGCATCAACTTACAAAGTTTTATGATCATAGGCCTTAAAATGTCCAAATTATGCATCTAAAACGCTTTGAAATCGAATGCCTGCAAAGTTCAAAAAATAGGTCACTGTTACTTTTTAAACATATGCTTTATGGCCCCAAGATGCATAATCTTGCAAGATTTCATGATTCTAAACCTCTCAGTATTCAAATTATTGACCTTAATTGTTTCATAAAAGATTAGCCATAAAATTCAAAAAGTAGGTCAAGATGACCTACTTTTTAGTTGACGTACTTTGATGACCCAAGATACATCAACTGACAAAGTTTGATGATCATAGGCCTTAAATTGTTCAAAATATGCCTCTAAATCATTTTGATAAAGAATGGCGGCAAAATTTAAAAAGTAGGTCACCGTGACCTACTTTTAAGTCAACATGATATGAGGTCCTTAGATGCATCAACTGACAAGATTTGATGATCCTAGTCCTTATAGTAAGCAAAATATCAACATTTTAATAAAATATAATTTTTGGTTAACTTTGAAGTGACCTTGAGACCACACCCTTTGCCCCAGGGTGATGCCTTGAACAATTTTAATCTACAATATATCCTCATCCTTTTGTGTAAGTTTGGTGATTCTGCCCAGTGGTTCTTGACAAGAAGATTTTTTAGCAACCAGTACTTTTGTTTCTATTTTCCTAATTATCTCCCCTTGTTTAAGGGTCACAACCCCAGTTTTGGTAAAAACGGAAGCCCTTGGGACAAGGATACCCTGTGACAAATTTGACAATAATTGGCCAAGGGGTTCTTGAGTTACGGCCCATATTCTAAAAAGTTTACGCACACCGCACAAATGGCAATAGCATTAGCTCTTTGAGCCTTTGGCTCAGAAGAGCTAAAAACTAATACGTATGATAATGCAGGTAACACATACATGTGGTAACATTAGTTATGCATGGATAATCGAAACCCATGACCCACGTGTTTTAATTGATGAAACATGTAGCATTGAACTTCGCTATTAAAACAGCTTTTTAACAAATACAGGTTATTATTTTCTGATTTGAATTAAAGTAAAGCGTGAAAATTAAAATCATTGAATGACAAGTACTACTCATAATTACTGAAGGACCATGTACTGCACGTATATATACCTATCGTAGTATATTCTCAAATTCCCAAATAAAACATGGAAGTTATTGAAAACATATTCATTGTTTCTTGAATTCACGGATTTATTAACACTGTGAATATAGCGAATATAACACCGTGAGTTGTTTTTACCCCTATACAGTAGTTACCATTTTTTAACTGTGAAAGGATAGGAAACATTTTAAGCTTACCCTCTGGAAAAAGACCTTTCATGAGGCAGTGTTTACACTGGTACATAGCCTGAGACAGATGTCGGAACAGTAGGTCATTATTCTTATCCAGAAAGCCATCCACTTTGTATGTTACCTACACAAATAATGGAAAATATTGAAAAATATTGAGAGCAGCTCTGCCCAAACTCCATCTTTTGCTATGTGTAAAACAATAATATAAATGAATTACATGAAAATAGTTCCTGAGCAAGTTTGCACTTTATAGAAACTAAAGTCAAAATTGAACAAAATTTATGCATTTTCTAACTTTAAAAAAAACAACATGAAATCTCAATAATTCGTGACACCACAGCAACAAACATGCCAATATTTTTGCACTATATAATAAATGAATCTTACATTTTGTTAATTTTGATTTACTTTATACAATATACATGTGTATAAAATTGTGCTCATTTCAAGAGATTTGCAAATTTTACTTTTATGGGGGCAGGGATATGCCTTTAGCATATAGTTCTTTGTCATAAATTATTACTGTTACTTATTTACAGAGGAAAACTTGAATTTGAGATGTTGACATTGTACTCCTGTTGTTGTGGCAGTAAATACCTACATTGCCTGCGTAATGTTTGAGTCGGAATGTGCCATGGGTCAGTGTTTTGTCGTTCTGACACTTCTTCAGTGCTTTACTTTCGTAGTGAGGGTGATTATTACACGCTTGGTTTAACTTCTCTAGGAATGTCAAGTCGGTGGGGTTTCCCGGTCGCATACACTCCTCATCCAGAAGGGCCAGGATCCCAACATTAGACTGTAATAACAATACAAGCAATTTTCTTATTTAAAGATTTAAAATAAATCTGAACTTAAAATACAACAAAACTTTTAAAGGTATGAAAAAAAACTCCAAGGATCAGAAATTGCTTTAAGAGAACAGATACTTAACTCATCATAAGGATTTCATTTTTACAGTATCCATGTTTACTTTAAAATATTTCACTGTACACATAATATAATGACAGGTACTTGATGTAGCTATAACCACCATGATCCAGGGTTATTTCCCCTATTCACACACTACCTATCCTTCACTAATCAGTTATAGCTACCAAGCATTACATGTCAATATATAACATAACCATTGCAAAGCAAGGTGCATCAGTTTTCAAATAGAGATAAAAAATTTCGACCTTGATTTGCAATACACTTGTATTATAAAACTATTTTCTAGGTTCATTCCTATACCTTGTAGAAACTGGTATTAAGTCAAACTTCATATAAAACTTTCAAAATGTTAAAATATCTTGTTCTGTGCAAATTAGAATGATTCTAACCTATATTATTGTTATGGCTGTGCAAAATAATGAAAAAGTATAAATTGTTTCCATGTCATCAATATTATATTTATGTACATTTCTTGGTTGATACTGCACACAAGACATCCCTTGAATTAATACTATTTACAGTATTCCCATTCATTTTAACAATATAAATGTAAAAATGCCACAAGAAATAGACAGTACAAAAAAGCAAAATTCTCCCATAATTTTCCATTCATGGCAAATTCAAATTTTATTAACACTAAAAGCAAACCCACCACAAGGTATAAGACTGCAAATGGGTTACTGTTAGAAACTGTTTACGTAAGTAAATTAATTAATCCTTTTTATAGACAATTCTTTATAAAAGTTCAATTTAACTTATATTAGACCTTTGATCTACTGGCATACATCACTACACAATGGAGGTAACCATATCCCTTTGGGTTCATCTCAGATTGACCTTTCATCTGACCAATCAGCATGTCACATTCCACGCTGTTGGTAAGACTAAGGGAACTCATTCAGAACAACTGACCTAACTGACAAAACCCATTAATTGTAAGTAATGCCAATCAATTCCTCCTGTCTTCAAGACTTTGAACACAATCAAATGGTCATCAAAAGAATCCTCAGCATGCTGAATGGCTGCTTCAAAATGAAAACAGCTTGTGTAAGACTGATATTCATTTGCAAATTTATCTTGTCACTGAAATTTTCATTGGCATCTAAATCTAGGTAAAAAATCAATCTGAGTTGAACCCATGGGATGTTGTTGAATTCTTTGTGTAGCAACCTAATATGAATGCATCAAAGAATCTAATTATAATTGTGTTATATCTGTATGTATAGATTGTATACACAAGTATTAACTACTAATAAGAAACATATTAATTCTGTTAAGTCTTATAAAGCTATGATCTAGTTGGACACATACATTAAACAAAAGGTGCAAACTACTGACTTACACTATTTTTTTCAGGGGGCTGAAAATAAATCATGCAAGGTTACAGCATCAAGCAATTACCTATACAATATACAGGCATTAATCACAATTCAATAACAACTCAAGTGTAAAGAAACTGATGTATGAGAAAATGACTTTCTCATGCAATAAAAAGTTTCACACATACATATATAGCATATTATTTACTGGTAATAACAATTTTAAGTACAACAGACATTCAGTTACAATGAAATTTTATCTACTGTTACTGTCATGCCAAATTAATCCATGCATGATTTGAGGTTTATTTATTGCTGACTAAAATTAGATATACATTTACATGTCTATGTATGTGTGGTAAGAGAACACCTCACCTTCTCAACCAAGTCACAGATGACTGCATTGTTGAAGTACTCTATATGAATCCATTCAATTCCCTAAAACAGAGAAAAAATACAGAGTCATAATAAAGCACCTGCTCTGCCAACTCAAATAGCAAAGTATTATTGTGTCCTTTATACACCAGCAAAGAAAATAAATCTTCAGATTAATGATTTTCTGTGAACTCAACGATTCTCAAATCTCCTTATTTTTCCTCCTAGCAAAGTTAAATAATAACACACTAGTGTACCTCCTTTTAGCTAGGTAAATTGAATAACATACTAGCATATCTCCTTTAAGTATTCTTAAAGCTAATGTTGACTGAATAATCTACTAAATCTACTAGGGTACTACCTCCTTTATATATTCCTCCTGTTCTTCTTTCAGGGTAAGCTCTATAAATATCTGTTGGAGCTTCTCATTGCAATAATTGATGATAAACTGTTCAAAGCTGTTTTCCTACAATGGAGTGCATTTATAAAAATTTTATTTAACTATCCTTCTCTGAATAATTTACTACTGTGAATTAGTACATGTACTAGAATAAGCTACATGTAGTATTTACATAATGTACATACACATAACTTTACATCAAAATAGTCAGGTGTTAAAATATATTGAGGGTTTGCAAAAGTAGTTTGGACAACTCACTTCAAACACTTCAAATCCATAAATGTCAAGGACACCCATGACCTCTGTCCTAATTCCAGAGGTCACCTTGATGCTATCATTGATACGAGCTACCAGCCAGGAAAACATGCGGCTGTAGATAGCTTTACACAGAGCATCTCTCGCATACATTCCCTGTAAACAAATAAAGTCTTTAAACACTTTTATCATGTTTATCAGCTCCTAATTTATCAACAGAGAAATGTGACAAGGAGTACATGTTATATAATTATGCCATATTTGCTGAGTGACACATAACATACACAAAATCACTTACATCATTTGCACTCAGATCTCTTTTCACCTTTTCACCCCTGACCTCTACTTTCCTCTGGGTCAAGGCCACACTTAGATCAGCTGATGGACAGCCCAGTAAGGCTGCTGCATCATCCAGTGCTACAAAGAATAAACTGCACAAATCAGAGATACATATATCCTCAACAATATCTAATTATCTCACATTTTAGTGACATACATGTACCATATCATGGGTCATTTTTACTGCTGCAGATTTTACAAAAATGCTCCCAAGAGGTAATGGTTTTAATGATTAAGGAGCTGACAAACATGATAATGAATTTATGAAAAATAAATTCTTTATGAAGTCCTTCCACTGCTGTAGACTGTAATGCATGACATCTGTACATAGTTCATCAATGCTGTTCATTTTTACACGCATATTTTTACAGTCCTATTAAACATAAAAACTTAGCTAAAATTGGCAGCAAAAAAAAAAAAGACCTATTTTACAATGTGATTTCACCATACTTTCATTTGTTTGATTTACAGTGGAAGTGATGGACATGAGACACTAACCTGCCATGTTACTTAGATCACATCCGTCTGTACCATCCTCATTACTTCTGTGAGAGAACTCCACGTTTCCTAACTTAAGGATGCTGGCAATCAGTTGGAACAATGATGTCACTTCCTCAGATGAAAACCCTATCACTTCCATACCATGCTGAATTTAGAATTTAAAACTCATAGAATATAATCATTGTATAATATCTTTATAGTGTGTCTTGTGCATCTTAGTTGTTAAATTCACCCCATTACTGAGGTATGTAATGACCTGTAGCAGAACATTACAACAAAGCCTTACCATTACAGTGTCAAAATTCTTCTGATCATTCATAGTAGCAACATCAGCATCAACAGTCCCTTTCAATATATTGTAATCATCTATCTCCCGTGTTAATTTTAGAGACTCTAAAAAGAAATATCAAAACTGCGTATTTTTATCAGTAAATATATCAACTTGAAGGTCATTTAATTAGAGATTTATAAATGATGTCTACCAAGTGTGTTTAGTTTTGCTCCCTGTAGCAGCTGATAAAATATGTGGAAGTTCCTTTCTCCAGGCATCTGAACTGCTACTCGGGACTGAAATACATATAACATCCTGTTATAGTATAGGCTCTCAAGAAAAAGTTCTTCATCCTGGATGTCTCACTAAAATGTTTTTTTTTTTTTTTTTTTTTTGCCATTTCCTGTCAACTTCTAGAATTTTTTTCCACTTGAATTTTTTTAATGCTTCAATAAATTATTTTCTTCTATTTCTTTTTATGCTTTTTCCAAGATCAATAAATTCTGACTCATTCAAATCAAAGATTTTAGATCACAGAACTAGTATCAGAAGAAATCTGGTTAAAAAAATGATTTTACTTCTTCCATTTTAACTGACAAAAAGATGTAAACATAATTTTGTTTAAGCTTCTTGTTTTAGTTATGAAATCCTATCCTCCTTTCAGTTTTAGAGAAGAAGAATTATTGACATACCTTCTCTAATAAATCTGAAAAAAAAATAAATTAACTTGTAGTTCTCGGGATATTCAATTGCCATCTTTAAATTTCAAGTTTTTTTTCTCCATCAAAAAAGGATATGCTATAGGAAATACAAATAGGAAGATTTTATTAAGTGCTTACAGTTTGTTATAACTCCTCCAATAGGATCCCCCTTGTAATCAAACTCTATATCCATGTATTTTCCCTGAAATCAAAAAGAAAAAGCCAGGACTGTGAACACAACATATCTACAAAAGCAGTGCCATTGATAAGAAACAAAATCTTACACTGGTAGACATAAGGCCTAAAAAAATTAACTTGGTTTTAAGGCCTGCCCACATCTCATTTAACAATGCACATTACCCATTTTTATTCTCAAATGAATAAAATCAAATTTCTCTCATGCGCTCGTAAGTTGCCTAAAAAAATCCGGAATCCCCAACCGCATTTTGACCACAGTTAAGATACTCCTTTCAGTAAAACATTTGACAAACATAAAGATGATCCAGACTTTTGGCCTAGTTTAAAATCGCAAATATGGCTGTCGAGTTAACAGATTAAGGTGTCAAGGTTAAATCTGGTCATGACGGCATTGATTTCAGAGCAAATTCATAAGGGAATGACTGTAATACTTCCATGGCACATAGTAGGGGTTTCTGAAGGTTGTTCCATCCTAGAACTCCATAACGCTATCAAAGAGGACTCCTCCCTCAACCTCGTAACTTGGATGTTTCCAGAAAAGCTTCAGCAAAATTTGCTGATTTCATTTAGTGTGGGTAAACCAAAGACTGATAAATTTGACAGTGCTTAATAAAATCATAAGCATTTTTTATAGTGCTGAAACACTATTAGATTAGTTGTGATACATAAGCAGTTGACCAGTTGCATCACTAAAAGTATTGGGTTCTGTAATTTTAACACGTCTGGTTGTTAGGATGCTGTCGTTTCATTACATGAATCATCGGAATGTAGAAAATGCAAGAGAAAAGAGAAAGAAGCAGGAAATAAATTATCCTTAAAAAAAAAAATCCCGCATCTGTTTTTATGAGATAAAAAGAAAAAAAAAGCCTCCCTCTCGCATTTATTTTTGAGAAAACTGACCTGAGAACCAAGTTATTAATTTTATTAGGCCTAAAATAACTACCTTGTGTACTGTAATCAAAGAATAAAATCATATTGATTTAATTGCTTAGAAAAACAAACAAATGTATCTTTGAACAGATTTGTAAATATTACTTTATTTTCATGGTCTCTGGACAGATAAAATATGATGGCCATTGGTTAACATGAAGGTACTTACAAATCTGGAAGAGTTGTCATTCTTGTTAGTCTTTGCATTCCCAAATGCTGCAATAAATTAGGAGTGTGTTAATAGATTCATTTTCCCTGTCTCATTATTGAAAAGAATAGTTAAGAGTGCGTTAATAGATCCATTTTCCTGGTCTCATTATTGAAATGGATAGTTAAGAGAGTGTTAATAGTTCATTATTGAAATGGATAGCTTATACATGTAGTGTGTAAATAGATTCATTTTCTCAGTCTCATTATTGAAATGGATAGTTTAAAAGTGAATTAACAGATTCATAATTGAAATAGATGGCTTAGTCATGACCTCAATAAAGACACCTATAGTCTTCAAGGTCCACAGTGTACAAACTGTACATATTTTTAATTTTGATATCCACTCTCCCTTGAGTGCTCACATTTCTGTCACTGATACTAGGGAGCTAAGTGACCTTTAACCCTACACCTATCAGATTACCTTCGAGTACGGGGTTGGATTGCAGCAGTTGTTCTTTGACTGTGTCAATATTTTCTCCTTTCCCTGATACTTCAGCTACATACTGCATTATTACTTTACTGGCCTCTGAAAATTAACAATAAATCTTTATATATTTAAGCTCAGAGTATACTCACAATTCAACCTCAGTATCTTTCTTCAATATTACTGTAAAAATCAAAAATCTGGAGAATAATTACAGACAGATGACTCGATCTCAATCATTTTTGCTATGATATGTTTGGGAAACATTTTGGTAAAATGATTTAATTTTGATATTTGACCTTAACATGGTTTCAAACTATTTTCAAAAGTAAAATTTTTTGTACAAGTGTCCCCTGTATTTCATTATATTAACTTTGACTGCAGACATGACCATACTCACCTGTCTTGCCAGCGCCACTTTCCCCGGAGATGATAATACACTGATCTAAATGTCGGTCTCGCATGGATCTATACGCCTCATCTGTGATGGCATATCTGAATACAAAGACATACCAATATATTATTTATAGAAAGAATTTTAATCCTGATCTGAATTCTAGACTTATGAATTAAAAAGAGTATTTTATATACATGTGGGGTGGGAGTTCATAGATGTTCCTGGAGCGATATTCCTCAATGATGCTTGGTGTATACAGAGGGATTGTCTTGTAAGGGTTGACAGAAACCACCACTGTTCCTATGTAAGTCTGAAAAATAGTTTCATAATACATAATTAACAATTAGGAAAAACCAGAAGTCTCTGATGAGACTACAGCTCTCTTCGATTGGACTTTATAATGAACTAGACATGGAGATGCAATAGGAATTCTCTTTTGAGTCTCACATTTTTCAACAGTTTTGTTTTGAACATATTTTATTGACAATCGGATCAGAAACAATTTCTATTAACTTACTAGTTCTTCTCCTTAATAAAATACATAATAATTGTCATGCATTTCAACAGTGATAACACCTCCTGTTTTAAATCATTCATAAAGATGCTGCATTTTGTAATGATTTCTAAGTATTAAATTTCAGAGTTTTTTTTTTCCCCTTAGTCTTAACAGTAATAGAATAAATATATGGTTCCTTCGTAGCAAAGCTTGAATAACAGAATAATTTAACAATAACCTCTTCTACACAATCATATGGCAGATATTAGACAGGGAGGTACTGTAGAGGATACATATTATTGAAAAAGTTTTCATATTCTATTTCAACATATGAAAGTAGTGCTTAGATAAATGCATCTCAATGTAAACATTTTTAACCAGGTTTTCTTCAAATGCAATGAAGAATAATTAGTACCATTATGAAAATAATTCAACAGTATACTCAACTTTTAGTAACCATGCATGGCAACACCCTTAAGTGAAATTAGATATTGTTGTGTACAATTAAGTATCTTGATACTACCTCAACATTTCATTGAAATTGGACAAAAACTGTAGACAGAATTATGTGTACAAGATTATCATATTTACATAGACCTGGTTTTGGTCATAATCTGGTAATATGCTGGCATCATATTTGAAAAATGCTGGTTTAATACTTACATAGATCTGGTTATGCTGGTTTAGTACTTACATAGATCTGGTAATGTTGGTGTCTACTTACTTAGAACTGCATGGTTATGCTGGTTTTTATACTTGCATAGATCTGGTTTTGTACTTACATAGATCTGGTTATGTTGGTTTTGTATACTTACATAGATCTGGTTGTGCTGGTATCGAAGCCTGAGGTTTTCAATGAAGGCATCCTCTGTCATGGGGTCCAGCAGCACAGCATCACTGACCCCCACATTGTTTTCCAGAATAGCCAGTGAACCCTGGTGTAGCGCCATGCTGGCTGTCACGGTCACACTTCACTCTGTTAGAATGAAGAAAACTTCAAATTAGTCACAGACTCTGAAGATTTGCATACTTATACATGCAATATTACTTCCTTGTTGAACACTTAGATGCCAAACCATAAAAATTCTTGTATCCCAATTTTCATTCTTTCTTGAAACTTATAGTAATTAAATGGTAATTAATACACTTTTTCCTAGGTTAATAGAATATCCACTACCACTGTCAGACTGTCCAGAATGTATGTCTTATAAGCAATGTTCTAAAGTCTGTCTGTCATGACCTGACAGCCTCCTACATAAGCTCTGTAAACAATTCTTCTTCTGCCTCCCTGACTCACCCACTTCAAATGACACAGTCATCAGATTTAATTAACTCCTTAACTATTGCAGACTTTGTTTTAAAACTCAAGTTACCAGATGTTTAAACCAATCCTTTGCAAACAGCAATTTTCAATGCATATGTTAAATATAACAAAAGAATTAGAGATTAAATTTTAATTTCTACAGATCTGCCACTCTTAAAGATATAAATTGATTTTCCAAGTCATTTACTTCAAAGTACTGCGTTTTTGGGAACTGTTAAAAATGCAAAAGTTTACAGTTTATCTTCTACATACTAAAGCTTGGAAAAAATGGCCTGATTACAACGTCTGAACCACAAGTTATAAGGTGCAGATTTTTGATACATATAGGTCCTTAAATCAAATACTTTCACAGGACACCTGTTGACTAGGAAGCATCCTGATAAACACTCTTTTTTTACTAAAATCAAGTCCAGTTCAAAGGTACATACCTAGGATACTAAGAAGCCAAATAATTCTGTGTATTCTGTGAAAATCAAAGCGACACAGAAAATAAGAATACACTAAGTCATCTAATACACTTAGTCTACTCCAGTATCAGACAACCGTGTCACACATAAATATAGGAAGTAGAGGAATATACTTTATCACTTTCTTCCCATTTCTATTTCCATATTCCTCCAACTTTGTTATCTTTCTGCATCACACCCAACATCACCAGTTTGATGGAGAACCATATTCCATTAAAATAATTCACTCAAAGAATGCGGTCCACATGATAAAGTTTTGCAAGTAAATCCAAAGTAAATTACTGGTAGCTACATATCCACAAAGAAATAACTGTCAATGGATACTGCAATGATTACCAAAGGAAACTCAAAATCCATCAAGATTCCAATAAAACATGAGATAATTTTAAGTCAGATGACACTAAATGCCACACCCTATAATTGCAGCATCAGAGAAAATCTCAATTTCCAAAGACAAAGCTCACAGTTCTAATATTCCTAATGATACCCTGTATCAATATTTCCAGTCAAACAACAATAGATAATCTGGACCAGAATCAAATAATCAGAAACTGGACACATTGACACAATTCATTAAGCTGATTATCATTATACACGACCATTATTGTGGTGTCACTAAAATATAAAGTAGTGTCATACAGTTATTATAGACAGCTAGGAGTAAATCAATAACAGCAGGTGAATAAGCACTCTGTGATACAGACTATAGACAAACTTGAAAGATTTGTGATTTCCTCATTATCTTTTTAATTCTCAAAATACATGAATCCTTTTTATATCAAATTGCAGAACATTTTTATTTTCAGCATCGTCAAGGCAACAGTGCAGCTTCATCAAAGATCAAGTCAGAGCGAGAGAGACATTCCTGCAATATTTTAGCAATGTAAAGCATACTACTGTGGAATCATTCTCGATTAAATTTGTGGAGGGCTACGTTCATGGACGACCAAAATTTTGCTGGTTCTTGGGGTTGTGAAATTGTGGATGACAGAGATATTGTTCGTGTGAATGTTAATTTGTGGGTAAATGTGAAACATGAAATCCATGAACATTAGCCCCCCCCCCCCCCCCACCCCCCCCAAATCATGAACATGATTTTAGAATGAGGACTAATATCCATTGTTCACAGTCTGTTTGACTGTAACTAAACTCATTGTGATCTTTATTATCCAATGGGATGCATTTATATATGGCAGCATAAGGCAACCTTGAAATACTATATAAATAAATTAACAGGCATACATAATTGTTCGTATCTTAATTGAATGCTAATTGTCTGATTCAATTTGGGTCATGTCATCAGCACATATTTACCAAAAATTTGACCTTGAAAGAGGACACTGTGCAATCATGTGTTATATAGATCTTTTATGAAATACATGAATACTAATACATTGCATATCTACTAAATTGAATACTTAAATATACTTTCATATATTCACAATAAACAACAAAATCTCTTACTGCTGAAACAAAATGATAAATGTCAAATATGTTACTATAAAATCCAAGTCATATCCTAAGCAATGTGACACCCATTTTACATGTAAAGTCCTTCCCTACAATACCACTAGAACTATAGTCCTTTCCTACAATACCACTGGACCTACAGTCTTTCAAGACAGTACTACTAAAACTCTTGTCCTATCCTACAGTAATACTAAAACGATAATCCTTCAAGACAGTAATACTAGAACTATTGAATCCACAGCTTAGAATGAGATTAATTCCCCTTGAATGGTGTGTGCAAAAAGATATGATCACATACAGTCTCTCTTTTGCAAGAATTTAAGATCAATTCCATGACTTTCATTTGTTAACACATATAAGCCTAATCTTCTGACAGACTTGGACATACTTACTTGATTTCTCCAGCTTCATACAAAATTAAGTTTTATCTGTGAAAATTCCTGAGTGTTCCTGATGAAATAGAAAACAGGGAGATACACAAGATAGTATTTTTGTCTGGCAGAAAAGGCTAGCTTTCCACTGTATCACAAAAAGAGATAAAGTGTTTTCCACTTCAGGCCATTAACTTCACTTAAAACCATCACACTGTTATTTATACATTACAGCATGATATAAACATGACATCTTGAGAAAACAATATGAAAACAGATCTATTTCTCATTCCAGCATTTAATTTTCATCTGTAGCCATAAGTGGTAACGATGTAAACCAGTCAGATAGTCTCCTAAATCCAAAAATAAACCAGACTTAAAACCGAAAATAAACCATGGTAGGCCGTATAACTCCTCATAAAAAAAACAACATTTCTAAAAACATTTTTGTGAAATAAAGAATTCATTTTACAAAGAAAACTGTCTTTGACAGCGATTTTTTATAGGATTAAATAATTGAAATCAAAAATAATGATTTGAACAACATTTACATTGCATAGATCTCCAAATACACAAAAAGCTTATATTCAAATTAAAAGCAGGTATTAACTTGTAGGCAACATTTGTAGTATTAAATAGACAAGTTACTTTAACAAAAGGGTATTATAATTAATGTTTCAATATTATAAATATCCAATTGCATAAGAAACTTGTAATGAAATTTAGTCCAAATTGTAAAATGATATTTAAAGTATAAGTGTAGTCTGTAATATCCATATCATAATACAGGGTATGCATGAATGAAATACCCCCAAACGATCAATACACACCTGATCAAATCTAGAAAACTTTCACAAAGGTGAAAGGTAAAGAAAATTAATGAATTCATTATTAGAATAAAGCTTTTTACAAATGGGTTAAAACTCTTCCATTAAATAACTAAAGACGGAACTTCAAAAGCCAGTCTTACCTTTCTTCTTTAAAGTTAAGTTTAGCTCTCCCTTACATCAAGTCATGAATGGCTAATCTCTCCAAGCAAACAGACATTTTCTGGGGATCCACAAGAAAACTTCTGAGGTTTACCTATACCCTGTCACTGTGTGCTATATGTTAGTCTAGTACAGTTTGTTAAAATGATAAAAGCATTTAACAGGTAGAGGGATAGAGAGCCCCAGAAATATCAACACTTTATCAACACCATGCAATACCACTTCAAAATCCATGTATATAAAAAAGAGTTGTAAATTAGGTTTCCTCAATAGTCTGCAGATTATAAATCCATTTTTACATGACATGCATTAAAAGGTGTGTTTTTTTCTGAAGGGGGAAAAAAGTAGCTTCCGACTTCGTCAACCCTGTAATCTGATTTGCAGCTCTGAAGAGCAATGCACCATATCTGCAGCATTAAAGGAATTCAAGGTCAGGAAGCTTCTGGCTGTAACAAGGAAAATCATTGTTTACTGAAACTGATCTTTATGGTAAAAGTTTGCAGAGCTGTATCAATGTAGATCGAACTGACAACAGATTTCATGGGTGATTTCAATTTGTACAGATCACAGAAATAAAACAGAGCAAAGAAGAATAGATAATATTTAACAATACAGCAATCATAGTGCTGCCAGATAAACCAACTATTATTCAAGACAATTTTGATTCATGATTCTTCTGTTTGCAATTTTTTGCAATTTAGGAAATGTTCTACATAAATAACAATTACATGAATAGTCTGCGCAATAAATATTCAAGAAGGGAGCAAAACTCATGGTTTTTTTATTTCATGTGAATAAAAGTTGGTATACAGTATGTATTACATGAAGAAATTGATCATTTTAGGGTTCTAATTAGCAAGTTACATCTACAGACAAAAATACAGAAATAATATTGAAACAACTATCTGAGGAACCTAGCTTAGCCCTTTTATATCTTCAACCTAAGAAAAATCCAATCATCATATACTGAAAAAATGTAATAAGAATTTCTACAAATCATCAGAGATAACAATTTTTGCCAAGTATAATTACATGGTACCCACTGTTTCTGGGAAAAACTTTATTTATAATAGCTCAGCCAATTAGAAATCATGACAGGATTGACAGCCATCTTGGAAATCTAAATACCGGGTATAACAAGAGCATCATCACCAAGTGGAGCATTCCTTCACAAAACAAATATTTCCTTATGAGAAAGTCATACTTTTTAACTTGTTCATTTATTATTCTGTTTTGTAAACTTGCACACAGAATTTGAGTTGTAATTTTACAATATCCAGAGAAATAATTGGCTAACTTTAAAAATTAATAGAGTACGTTAGACCTATTACAATGCAAAAGAATTGTGC